TTTGGCAGTTTCAGAAAATAAACGATTTTCATAGAAACCAACAAAAATATTCGCTAATATAGGCCTCAGGACTGAACCCATAGACACCCCGTCGATTTGTCTGTACATTATGTTATTAAAACTGAATTCAACAGACGTCACGGCAAATTATTATTAGCAAATTATATATATATATATATATATATATATATATATATATATGAAAATGAATCTGCCAACACAGTTATAATGACAATATTCTCCACACGTGACAATAACTGACGTTATTTTCAGTTAACAATATGAAAATAGCGTTTTCTACATTCCTCCAGTTGCTAGGAACACTCGGTTTTTTGTTATTATTAGTTATGTTCTTTAATTGTCAGCAATAACTACAGTTTTCCTATTTTCATTTGTATTTATAAATATTGTCTTTTCTATATATATATATATATATATATATATATATATATATATAATCCGTCAAATCTGACAAAGTAAACCTGGAAACTGCTCTTGAAAAGGACCACCAATCAATAATTAACTGGGGCAAGAAATGGCTTGCAAATATTAACACCTGCAAAACTGCTTTCATTTAAACACCGCAGAGAAAATTTTCTGCGTGTCTGATGCTAAACTCCAGGAAAGCAAAATACTACGCTTTCTTGGTCTTACGTCTTCCACTGACGTGAAGTGGGACGCTCATATCAAATCAATTCCTTCATCTATTGCAAGGACAGTTGTGTCATTGTGTCATGCCAGAATATTTTTCTTATTAGAATCCATCTTGCACATTTACAAATCTGCCATTTGTCCGTTAAATACCGTTGTCATATCTGGTCTGCTTGCTCCTGCTATACATCTCGAGATGCTTGACAAAATCCAAAGATATATAATGTAATCGATCCTCAGAGATGACTTCTCTCTGTCTTTTTTACAAATATTTTCATCCGACAAGCGTGTTACTAGACTGATATCTAGCTTCCACCTTTTACTGTTGAATTAGTTAAACGTATACTAACTAACGCTTTTATCCACTGTGCTATGTGTCCTTGAGAACATCTGTATGTGAATTTCTGGGACTTATAAACCTAATGTCATCAGCAACCATTTTTACCAGTGCTCATATTGCAATTTTTGCTGTTATTATTCCATGTTTTTTACCAGAGCTCATATTGCAATTTTTTTTTGTTGATGTTATTATTGATTTTCTCTGGTACTCCTTATTACTGGTTCCCATATTTTATTCACTTCTATGCTTGGTCGGCTCAGGAGATTTTTATGGCCTAGAATATGTGCTGATTCCTTAAGTTTACGAATTTTCCAATGATGATCTTTGTCTATGATTTCAACCTGATCCCACCGAGGGCGGTGATCTCCCTTTTCTCTCCATATGTGGTCAGCCATGCCTGATTTTTCCACTTCACCTCGTGTTACAGCTTTTTGGTGTTCTTGAAGCCTTAACTTAAAGCAGGAAGACTGTTTTCTGAGTGTTGTTGTCCTCCTCTTGTACCCACCTATCCCAGTTTTTTGGGACTGCTGCCATGTACCCAGGGTAGTTGTTATGTTGTAGGATACTACTTATACTGACGCATTCTTTATCTAATATCTCTGAGTCGCCACTTATGATTTTTGCTCGGTGTTGTATGCAGCGGACGATCTCTTTCTTTACGCTGTATGGATGGTAGGAGTTGAAATTGAGGTACTGTCTGGTGAATGTCTGTTTACGGTATACGGATGTCTTTGAATCTGTTCGAGATATTAGAACATCCAGGAATGGGAGTGTGTTGTTACTCTCTTTCTCCATCATGAACTGTATCGACGGTCTTATTGAGTTCACATGGTCCAGCAGAACCTGGACATCTTCCTGGTGTAGCCAGAGAATGAAGGGGTCATCTACCTACCCCTTAACCATATAGTTGACTTTAGAGATATAGATTCTAATGCCATTTCCTCAAAGTATTCCATGTATATATTCGCCATTGCTGGTGATAATGGTGATCTCATTGCTAAGCCCCCATCCTGTCGATATATGCGTGATCCCAGAAGTGTGTTGTTTGTGTACAGAAAGTCAACATCTCCATCAGGTTATCTATTGGAATACTAGTCCGTTCTTCTAGGGATGAGTCAGAGACCAATCTGTCTCTGACTACTGAGAGTGCCTCCTCCGTGGGTAACTTGGTGAACAAACTCACCATCTGGTTGGATAGGATGGGAGCATCTTTGATTATTTTCACGAAGTGGGCGGAGTTTCGGACATATGAAGGAGACTTTCCAATCAACGGGTCAATTATATCCACAAGGAAGCGACACAGAGGGTAGCACACAGAGCCTTGGCAACTAACAATCAGCCTGAGCGGAATACTGTATATGTGAGGTAACTTGGTGTAACGCTGCGATAACTGCCTATACGTCTTAGGTGCAAAGTGATCCTTGTTCCTGATTAGTATCTGTGGCAGTTTGCGTTTCGTTTTCATTGTAAGATCCTTTTCTACTTTGCCGTAGCTACCATTTCTAATGAGGTCTTCCGGCTTTCCTGTATAATCTGATTTGTCCATCACTATATTAGCATTGTTTTTGTCAGCCGGTAGTATGATTATATTTTCCTTCCTCTATAGAAACCTGATTGCCAGCCTCTCCAGTTTCGTGATGTTTGACTTGGGAGGCTTGGCCTTCTCCAAGGTCTGTCTCACCTTGCATCTTAGTTCCCCCGCTCTAGCCTGAGGTAAATTCAAGGTCACTTCCTCGATTCTGGCAATGATGTCCAAGTATGGCATTCGCCTGATGGTTATGGCGAAGTTGAGACCCTTATTCAATACTGACTCCTCAGAGGCACTCAGCTGATATTGGCTGATGTTGACTACTGCTTTCACTGGTGGGTGATGGACCTTGTGCGTCACCTTCTGATCTTTCAATCTATTTAATTTCTGTACTTGGCGAGGTCATTTTGGAAACTTCTTCGGTTTTCTTCATTGGTAATTCTGTTGAAGAAATCCTCGAGCCTCTGGAAGATATGAGCTTGTAGTCTATGTTTTATCCAACGATTGTACTGGATTATCTCTCGGACAAGGGCGTGTCCCGTTTTTTCCACGACCAGACGGGATCTCCTTGAGTTGACGGAAAGTCTTGGTGCCAAGCCTGAAGGGATGAGACGTAGGTTTCTGCATCGGTGTAGGAATGTCAGATGGTTTAATATACGTGCCAGCTTCTGGTAGGACTTTTCAATTTGTCTCCATATTTTCGGTGTATTGGGTCCGTACCGATCCTTCAGTATCTGTCTATATTTCTGAGTTGAGGTATTATGTACACTATTTACATTGTTCGGACTATCGTCCTCATCTTGTTGCCATATTTATCACAACGTTTAAATAAAGGGTTCAGTTCGACATTCCAACCACCTGAAGAAGGCCGGAGCGTACAACGAAACGTTGTGATAATTATGGCAACAAAGATAGCTTCATAAATAAGGTAAAAAAGGTAATTTTAATAACATCAACACAAATGTCTATTGTTTTTTAAACAGACATTTCTATGTATAATTGGCAAAGATAAAAGAATTCTTAATGAAGTTTTCTGTACACATTTCCAATATGGCTAACCATTTGTTAATTTATATTGTAAGTCTTTTTTTTCAAATCATAACGCATTTATTCACTACACAAGAGATTTTAATTTCATCATGGGATTGTTGTTAGACTTTAAATATAGATCGTTTTTATTCTCCCCTTTACTTGAACTGTAACTAGGGGGGATTAGTTACAATTTTCATGTGTTTTCAAAGCATGTGTTGTTTTGGTGTCAGATCAGGCTTAGGCTTTCTACTGGTAACATGTAACCCAGTACAACTTGGTGCATGGAGGGGTTGTTGGCATCTAAACCAGGACTCCTACGAGCTTTTCTGTTGGTGAGTGAGGAGGGCGGCATGTCACACCACTGGACGAAAAAGAAAACCTGTCAAAGAGTAGATGAGCTTCTTATACGAGACAACATATATATATTTAGTTGGATTGATGTGAGTTTGTGACCCTGGGTTTCACGCTTTCGCGATCGTCAGACAAACTCACATCAATCCAACTAAATATGTTAGCTCTATCACTGATATTGAACGCCTTTCAATAAGTACCGCGCATATATAATATATATAATAAATTGCATATATATATATATATATATATATATATATATATATATATATATACACATTTCACACACAGACACACACACACACACATATATATATATATAGAGAGAGAGAGAGATAGACAGAGAGAGAGAGAGAATTAATACAAGTAAAAGGTTTGTCACTTACCTTCAACAGAGTTTTGTAGACGGACCCTCTGAGGATCACTCCATCCACTCGTCAGAGGTTATCAGCAATTGACTATTTATACTTCTAGATTTTTCTTTTTTATATGCACTTTTCATTGGTGCAAATTTTTTTCATAATGTATGTGTGTGCGTTCGTGCATGCGCACTCGTCTGTGCAATCTTCAGGCCATAAAGATTGCATTCAAGCACAAAACAGACTGTGGCCATTTCGTTTTCACCTCAGTGTTCACTTTTATATTTTTCTATTCATAACGCTGTGGAACGCCTTGGCCCCTGCGTTACATGGCACCGCCGTCCCGTCCTCAGTCACCGGTGTGTCCGCGATTGAATCTTGCGGCTAACCGTGAAGTTGGTCACTTCGATCCAAGCCTCTACCTGTCCCACGTTGTGTTTGTTTTGATCACAAGGCAGGTAAGAATCGAGTCGTCGCCAGATATCGCTGGATTAGTGTCGTTCAGACGGGACGATGTTATAAGGCAAAAAAAAAGGAAGTTGTGTAAATCAACAAGGTTTAATTGAGGGTTATACAGGAACACTTTCTCGTATAAGAATCTACAATTATGCAGGCTAACGGCCATTTCTTCATAATCTAATTTCATGGCACTTTGTTCTTCGTTTCCAAGTCGGAGTCGAGGTTTCAAACTTGAAGACTTCTTTATACCAGAGACTTCTTCAGGAAAGCAAATTACAGAATGCTGACAAAACACTCATCTCTCTCTCTCTCTCTCTCTCTCTCTCTCTCTCTCTCTCGTTATATAGAAACTTTCAATTCTTCCACTTTGCAATTTCATTAGGGAACTCTGCTTAATTTATCTAATAGTCTGGAAAAAGTCATGAGTCAGGAATTCTTCATGTCAGCAAATCACATGGGAATCGGCGAAGCGATCATCTCCTCTTGGCATAATGGAAGCTGCCTCAACTGCTACTCTCTGTAATTCCCCTCGCTTTTATGGACTCTCGCTCAATATTGGTGTGAGGCCCCGTGCGATCAGGGTTTCCAGGATTTTTCAAATATCCAATCAGAACTCTCTTATGACTGGGAAGCAATTTGCATGTCCAAATTTGGGAAATCCTTCCACCAGAGAGCAGAGGTAGCAGGGCGTCGACCTGCTCCACTAACTCCCTCCTTCTCTTATTGGTACCTTATACCAACACCCCTTAATGGGCGTAATCTGTTTTCTCCCATCCTATCTCGTTCACCAATCTTCTGGGTTAGCAAGCGTTCATTAAAATTATCCATCACAACCTCACATCATCAGAAATGTCCTCTTTCATAAAATGTTTTTTTTTTTGTTTTATATCTTCCAAATTTCCCCATCTTGGATAATTAATATTTCTTTCCTTGTCTTTGGGAACTGTTATCTTACTAATTGACCAAATTCTTCGTCATTCGAATTCTGTATTGTATTTAAAGAAATCTTATTCCTTTAACGACATACATATCTTCGACCCCTATCAACAAATGACATAGAATAATTTCTTTATCCACTTTTTCACCTACTTGTAGCCATAAAATTATTATCTGCAACTAGCTTGGTGGTCTCTGTCAAAAAAAAAAAGCCAGCCGTGGTCGCAATTCACAGATGTTATTGCACTCTCCTCACATCATCCTTTGGGTTTCACTTTAACCAGATGCCTAAGTGGATTTTAGCGCTATCCTCTCGTGAGGTCCTTTACTCGCAAAATGAAAAAACAAGTATATTTTCTTTTGTTTTCGGTATGTCCTTCAATCTATCTACTACCTTCTTTGTTTTGGTGTTCTCTTTTAATTAAAGCCTTTTTTCTTTCTTCAAATTATTAGCATTCTTACAGTGTCACATATCTACGTGCGCTCTATGTCTGACATTGAGCACTTTTACCCCTAAATATAGCATACCTCAAAACATACATACATACATATATGTAATTTAATCGAAAATTATAACATAAACGTTATAAAATCACTACAAAAATAGCCGTTTTGTTTTAACACTCCTGGTGTCTTATCAAGTGATGGTATTGAATGTAATATTTTGGGTTATTGGAATTTATTCCGTATACACCAATCCCCCACCTCCTCTCTCTCTAGATTATATATATATATATATATATATATATATATAAGGCTTGGATGAAGTTTCAAGCCTTGAATGGCAAATTTCCTCGAGATGGTGGGTCAATAAAAATACTGTATGTATGTTTGTACTTGAACTACCGTCAGTGTCTGAGTTGGGAATCAGGAAGTACATCCGGATTTGGAAAATAAACCTTGCCTCAAATCATTATGACAAGAAATTCTGTCAGGTATGACCCATCTTGATTTGTGCAAGGTTAATCCCACTCCTGAGAATTTCTTATAGTATGGTGTCCCAAGCCTTGAATGGAAACCTTCCTCGAGATGGTGAGTCAATAAAAATACTGTGTACTTGAACTACCGTGAGGGGCTTAATTGGTAATCAAAGAGAGCATCTAGCCTTGTAAAACCTTTCCTCTTATGACAAGTCTTGGTATGTTAACAGGCATATGTGGAGAGGTAAACGGAGATCTTTTGTCAGGCATGACCCACCTTGCTTTGTGCCAAATTAATCCCAGCCCTGCCTCAAAAAAAAAAAAAAAAAAAAAAAAAAAAAATTTTATGATGATGATGACGTTTGTACAGAGTTCAGTAGAAATGCCTCCCACATAATGGTAACACATTAATGACAATGATGTCTTCCTCTAGCTAATGTCTTACCATTATTTGGGAGGTATTTCTGCCACATCTTAATGTGATGTTATGGTGAATAGAATCTTCAGACTGATTCAGTCAGTAAATGTACTTTGTTTGAAAGCTGATTTTGATCTTCCATATTCTTGTCAATTTGGTCATAACTGCCACGGCTGCAGCAATCCATGTGTGGATTTCAGGATTGCAGGTACCATCTTTAGAGAAGATTGTATGAAGTCCAAAAAGTCTTCTTTTAAAAACCAATTCATGTCTTTTCCTTCTTTAATCATGTTTTGATCATGAATTTAAGATTTTCTTTGAGTTGCTATGTCAGTTTCTTAATGTATGATCACAAATATAAAAATACAATTGCTATATTTGAAAAGTTCTTAACAAAATAATATGCTTAATTGCAGAGATGGTAAATTAACAAAATCTTGAAAAGTTATTTTTTTAGTTCACAGATTTTTTTATACAATATTTTCATTATTTACAAATTTATCATCACCATCAAGAATAACATATAACACTGCAGAACAGCATTAACAAAATAAGGTTTGGTTGTTTTTGGTTAGTGGCATATCAACACCTCTATGGGATATTTAATACAGAAATCTAAATATTTTGTACACAATTTTATTTTTTTTAGATAATAATGTTTTTTTAGTGATAGAAGTCTTATTAATTAACACATAGCTGGGGGGAGAAGAGTTGAATTCATACCTTTCCTAAGGATATTAGTACATAAGTCAATATAATGAACCAAATTGGAATTGGAACTTGGCTCTCTGATTAACAATTCCGATCTGTTATCCATTACACCACTGGCACATCCAAGCTTACAGAAGCTGGTATTTCTAAGCAGTCTCCTATCTAGGCACTGACCAGGCTGGATGTTGTTTAACTTTGGTGATTGTACGGGAACAAGTGTTTGAATATGATGTGTCCATAAGCAACAAAATGAGTAACATTCAAAGCTTAATATAAAAAATAATGACACAGGATGATCTGTTAACATTTATATATTGATTCATTATACATGAAAACATTATACAAGGAAAAAATTTATTCCATCTTTTTATCACAATCCTATTGAACAATGTTCTTTGATCTTCAAATTATAATGCAGGAATTCAAAAGCAAGGTGGGGTTTAAACAAAGTCAATACCTGTAATTCCTTGGCAACCAAAGCCATTGATAGTAATCCAGAGTTTATATTTATAATGTTTCTACTAATTCATTCCTTTTTCCTTTTTCCATGAAAAATTCTATTTTTTTTTTCCAATTCTGAAAATCAATATCTGTATTTTTACAAATTTTCACCCTCTATGAACAGACCAAAAAAAAATCACTGAAAAGTCAAAGAAAAGTCAGATGCAAAATAAAAAAAAAAATAAATAAAAATAATGTAAAATAAATAAAAAAAAAAACATTTTATCTTAGAACATCAATTTCAAGTATAAAATAAGTTTTTATAAAATAATGCCTGGAAAGTACAATTCTTTAAATTCACACTTTTGACTTTTTAATTATCAACTTCATTTCATCAATAAATTCAAACTTTTTCACTTAATGTTAATTATAACTTTCATCTATTCAATTAGGAAGTTAAATAAAGAAGAAAAAACTGGAATTTTTTTCTTATTAAATCTTATTTATTTCATCAGGTCAAGAACAATAATCTGAGATTTGCAATTTTTAAGAAAAATCACAAAGTTACATCATCCAATCACAATACCTGTAATGCCTTGACTACCAAAGCCATTAATAGTAATCTAGACTTCCTCTCCATAATGCACCTACTACTGCATTCATACTTATTTTCTCTATAACACTTTATCATCATTAGTACTTTTAGTAGCTGTTACTGTTTGAAATGTTAACAGAGTTTGTTTTTTTTTGTCCATTTTCTGCACATTTTAATAACTCTCTGAAATCCTTTATTTTTTAAATTAAAAAAATTAAAACTTACAAATATTCTCAATATATTTAAAACTTAATACAAATTCATTAGAATAGTATCATCCTCACAGTTGCAAAACATTTTTTAATTTAACTAAAATTAGTGCTAATTATCATTGTATGTTATTAGTAGTAAATGTTATTAGATATATTAATATGTATTTATTTATGGAGTTTTCTATGGCAAAGTTTAACATTTGTACCCAAAAAAAAAAAAAAAAAAAAGTGTCAAAAGAACATTTTTTTTATAATTTTAATAAAACCCAAAAATATGAAACTAAATTTATACAATCTCTTTTTTCTTGAGAAGTGACAACAAAAATGTTAATCACTATTTACTTATTAGATTAATTACAAGAACTATTTTACATTTACAAGATTATAAAAATATGTAAAACTACTACAATGTAATATTTTTTTATATTATAAATAAATGACTATGAAAACAAATTTTTCTTTTATTTACACCATTGTCCGCACCTTTATTGTCATATTCACAACATTTCAGGCATTGTATGCTCTAGCCTTCTTCAAGTGATATACATTGGAATTTTGAATCAAACCCTTTATTTAATCCACCGAGGTAGATTGTTCTAGTTCCATGTGCCATGCCTCTTCTGACTATCTCAGTTTCAGTTAATTCTACTTAGTAACTCAACTCTCCAAGTTTTTGTTTACCTCTGCTGTGGCCAGGTATTGAACTCACAACTCTCTCCAATGCATATCCTTTGAAGAAGGCTGGAGCGTACAACTATCATAACGTTGTGAATATGGCAATGAAGATGAAGACAACAGTCCAGACAATGTAAATAGTATAAATAGTTAGAATACGTCATCTCAAAAATATAGACAGAAATTATTTTATTCATAAATTTATAAAAAGGTCTGCAAATAAGAGAATAAAACAATTTAAAGAGACATATAATGACAAGTATAATTTAGAATTTAGAAAAATACCATTTCTAGACATTTTTCTTTGCTCTCACCATATAATTTCACTGAAATAGGTTGCAAGCATCTCAATTTAAACTTTTTTTTTTGTTTTTTTTTTTGAGAACTGACAACAAAATTGTTAAACACTGTTATTTATTAGAGTGTTTACAAAAATAGTGTTTAACATTTCTGTTGTCAAGTCTCAAGAAAAAAATTTTAAGACTATAAAAGAGATAGATACAGTAAAAGAGATTATACAGTAATAGTGGTATCAAGAGAAAAACCATCCTTTTGACATAACATTTATTTTTTTTTTATTTTTACAGGTACCTTTGTTAAACTTTGCCTTTCTTATAATAGACTTGCATCTCTTAACAGCTTTTCAATAGCTTATATAAATAATAAGTTAGGATGAATTAGGATCCCTCAAACAACTGAATTTATGTCTAATGCCGCAAACTATGTCAGTCAAATCAGTGAGATAAACTACCCAGAATGAAATTAATGGTGATATATATATATATATACAAAGCTTTAATAAAAAACATAAGGAGTGGGGGAATGGTAATGGGGTATAACAAAAAGAAATTAGTTACAAGAATTTTTGAATTTTTTTAAAATTGTGAATGATTTTAGTTTCATATGAAATTGATGCATACAAACTGTGTTATTTACATATTGGAAAGACCCGATAAAAACTGAAAATAATAAAAACATGAGAATGACAATGATGTCTCTTGATAGCTCAGCATCTAGATAAAAAGCTAAAATGAAATTCTTGTACTTAAATTTAAAATTTTAATATGTTTGTTTTTGTTTTTTCAATCTGAATTTTGGAACCATATTTTCTGAGCAGGTAACATGATAAAACAATTTAGACCCATATTGATTTACTAAGCATAGCATAGATGTGGCACAAAGCCACTAGTACTGGGCATCCAGTGAGGATCACACTCACTTAGTCATAACTGATCTAGTGAGACATGCTTGTTAATCACTACAAGATGAAACCTGTGTCAATCTATTTTTATTTATACTCATCTGGAGGTATCTGAAAAAAAAAAACAAATATTTAAAAAGAGCTAGAACTTATATTTTTATAACCAAATAAATTAAATTATCATTTTTTCAATGAATTCTTAAGAGAATATTGCTAGAAAAATAACCGATTTATTTGAAACAGTAAAAGTCATTGTTTCCAACAGTTGAGATAACCTTGTTTTAAATTCAGACATCTTCCATAGGGAAGAAATTCAGAAAAACAAATATTCTATGTATTACTTAATACATTTTCAACTTCAAAACAAATTTATTGACTTTTTATTATACCTTATAAGGTTTTCTTTATACGTATATTATACATAAAGCTATTCTTTATGCTTTGATACATAAGTAATGAAATAATTTTAACTGCAATATATATATATATATATATATATAAAAACATAGGCTTATATGTATAAGCATATACAAGGTGCGATGAGTAAATTTTCCTTTTATATTTTCAATTTTGTCTATACATGTTTGTTTTTTATTTTATTGACTGTACAGTGTAATAGGGTCAGTTTGTCAGAAAAAACAGCACTATAATGCAATTCACTCTGCCAGTAATTTGGAAACAACATGCTGTACTGCTTGGCATTTGAGCCAGAAGCTCCAATATGAACATTTCAGAGTGTTTGGGTGCCAATCTGAGGACAGTGTAGAGGATTCGGAAATAGTTGGATGATATAACCAGTCACCCCTTACATCTGGCCACCTAACTCCGCAGGCTGAAACTCACTTGATTATTATGTGTGATTACAAAAGTACAGCAGCTTGGAAAACAGACTCAGATCATTCTGGTAAGAAAAAGAACACCTGAATTTGTTGGTGAGGGCCTCAGACTCAATATGGAGGACTACATCAAATGCCTTGAGGAGGTAGTGCTGCCCTGGGTCAAGAGGGTGGCTGCTGGAAGACTATGTCTGACAACAGGATTCTGCACCATGCCACACAAGCAGGAGAACCCAGTTATGGCTGTCAGAAAATTTCTGCAACCACATCACCCCTTACATCTGACCACCTAAACTCCACTGCCAGCAATCCCTTGATTATTATGTGGGGGACACAGGTGAGCAAGAGATAAATAAAACTCCTTGTAACACCAAAAAGATGAACTGAAGGCAAAACTTATGGCAGTATTCACCAACTTAAACAAGGAGAGTGTCCAGTAGAATTGCAAGAGATTTGGATGTCATCTGGATGCTGTTGCTGAAGCCAATTTATTGAATAAATTTACTCTTTAGTATTACGAGATATTTTTGTATAATTTTGATAAGTATATTTGTTAAAATGAGATATCAGTGTTATTTTCATTTTTGCATAGACGACAATTTATCCATTGCACTATATATATATATATATATATATATATATATATATATATATATATATATATATAGGTTATTTATTATTTCCCTCTCTCTCACTATATATATATATATATATATATATATATGAGAGAGGGAAATAATAAATAACCTGATATATACTATAAGGTCATTAATTATTTAATAATAGTGGCATGAAAATGAGCACTAAATTGATGTCAGTGACAAGGCGTGAAATTCAAATTGAGTCTACTAATTTCTCTCAGTAAATCCTTACCAGCTGTTTATATTCCTTGCAAGCAAAGAAATAATTGTATATTAAACAAAATATATACTACACACTGATCTTTCCACGGACAGATCTTTACTACAACACTAGAACTCCTCTTCTACAACTGCTGGTTTCAAATCATTTATTTCAATAAATCTAAATACGTGTCTGTTAAAACCTATAAATCCTTCTTTCCCCACCCTCACCCAAGCAAATGAATAGTTTAATATTGGCAGAACATGATCAGAAAAATTAGCCATCAGTTAAAAACATTGTCCTGAGCATGAAGATGTCAGTCTAATTTCAAGAATTACAAAATAAATTATTTATAAATAAGATAAAAAAAACAGGAAGGAAAGATGTTTCAGATCAGATTTCAATTTAAGTCATGAATTATTGCCTTCATTTTTCACAATGATGATGACCTCATTTTTTGACATTACAAATGAAGAATAACAAAGAGGAAAATGATTTGCTACTAACAATTGTGAAAGAAAAAGATTACAGCTGAGAGAGAAATTGATTATCAACAGTTGGCTGTTAGCCAGATCCAATGGAGAAGAGATTTCTGAAGTTCACAGTGCAATGCTCACAGTTGGTCTTCCATTGAGGGTAGACTCTATGCCATGATCAAGTCAAGACAATCTTCATCTTCCATATCTAAATCAGCAGGTGTTTGTGAGGTATCAACAATTTCCCCATCAAAACGTAACTTTAAGTCAGCTGCTTGCAGTTTATGCTGCTTGGCGTACAAATCAATGATTCCTTGAAGCATTTCAAACTGGAAAACAAAATAAAAGCATTGATAAAACAGGAATCAAAACCTGTATCCTATATGAAACTATCATATAGTCTGATGTGCTTTACCGATTGAGCTACATCAAAAGTCGCATATTTTCTATGAAAATTTCTCAGATATTCAGGCCGGTAAATGTTGTTAATACTGTTTATCATAAACAGAGCATTTATTTAAATATTTGTATCTATAAAAAGAACGTATAAACATAAAAAAATGGTCTTAATATATATATATATTTAAACAGATTTCTCGTACTGCCAAATCTAATCTGACATTTGAGGAATAAAAAATATGGGATCATATTAAACATAAGATACAACAGTATCCGCGTTTAAAACATAAAATGTAAGGCGCCTTTCGACTGACACATTTTCAAACACAATCGTCGGTAATCGTCGGTTGTGACATCCGGGTGTTCGCAGACTCGTGCCTCTGCTATCGGTGAACATCTATTAAATTCTGGTGTTTGTAGGACCGAGTATTCTCCCCATTTCTTTTCGGTATTGCACAGGGCTAGGAACAGACTCCACCTCAACATTTTGGAAGCTGTTATTATCAACATACGTAGGCCGGCCCTCTGTGTACTGTTTTTTAGATTACCGACGATTGTGTTTGAAAATGTGTCGGTCGAAAGCTGCCTTACATTTTATGCTTTAAACGCGGATACTGTTGCATCTTATGTTTAATATGATCCCATATTTTTTATTCCTCAAATATATATATATATATATATATATATATATATATATATATACATTAGTGGTAGCACGACTCAGAGTTTCATGCTCAGTATAGTGTTCATGTGCTGGGTAGAGACTAACCATTACATAATTTAAATTTTAATAAAAATATCTGGCTAATGTAATGCTGGTGCATTCCATATATTAAACAGGGATTACGATTTTTTATTTTCAAAATATATGTTGCATCTAACACAGACAGGATTTTATTTTATACTAGCAGTGGAGCCCGGCATTGCCCGGAGGATGTAACAGTAAGTGATAGATCAAGTATCGACCATCATAAAGACTGAAAAATAAAATTGACAAAGATTATTGTTTAAGGTTGACGGACACGCATGTCTTAATTAGTTTTTTTTTGTTTTGGTTTTTTTTTTTTTTTTTTTTTTTTTTACGAATTGGTCAAACCCTAACTCAAACAAAAACATTGTTTTCAATCCTTATGAGTCTATCGATTGAATAGAATTTTATTATAAAGCATTCTGAATGTAAAAATAAAGAAAAAAGTGTGCAAGACAATAAGAAACACTACCTGCCAAAAAAAAAGTGAAATTTTGTTGAAATCGGTAGGAAATCGATATGAGTTGTCCCCCTTTCATTAATGCCTCTTAATCATGTTTTCAAATTGATTTCATGCAAAAACAATTGTGTTTTTCCAATTTTTGGCACTGTCAGAACCACCGCAAGGTAATTTTACGTAGTCCTGTGAAGTTTTGTTGAAATCAGTTGAAAGATGTAGGAAATCCGATCCAATATATAAACGTATAGACACACACAATCTGCGTTTTATAATAAGTAAGATTTAAAGTAAATGGGGATTAATGGTAAAGGGAATATAAGCAAGAGTGGATCAATAAGTGTTATATATCGTACCTATGAACACTAACGGGTATGTCCCAATCCACATAAATACATTGAACACTATTGTAAGTGGGGGTAATATGCTGTCTAAGTAGTCCACCACTAGCAGTGGTTTACCTACTTCACGCCGCTGGCGAGTATTGTATTTTGTTGATGTTATAAAGATTATCATTTCATTTCCAACCTCCATTTTGATTATTCCTCATTCAGTAAGCCTTTCTAAGTTTGTAGCCTGATACATTGTTACTAGCTGAATTTTTATCTAAAATTTTCTATGTTTGATCTATGCAATATTCATCACCAAATTAAGTGCATTGACAAGGAAGGAGATTATGTTGAAAATTAAATATTTGTTGTGTAAAAGAAATGTTTTTTATCATTAATTATTACATTGAAGACTTAGTGATGTAATCTTAAGTGCCTAATGAATTGGAGGAGGAGGCATTTATTTATTTTGAGAAAATTTTCTGATACACCCTAACATATTAGTCAAAACCAATATCCATAATTTTACCTCTCTTTACAAAAAAAATTTTAAAAAATACACTAGCAGAAACTAGTGTTTACTTAAATACAAAAGTGAATGTCCACACACGCACACATATATATACACACATACATACATACAGACTGAATTAAAAAAGGAAAAAGATAAAGAGAAAAAAGTAAAAAACTAAAAACAATAAGGAATGAGTGTAAAGTGAAAAAAATGACAAAGAGGACAAATAACATGTATGCATATATGTGCAGACACGTATATGCACATGAATGCACACATACATGATTGGAAAAAAAAAAAAACTTGCACCAATGAAAATTGCATATAAAAAAAAAAAGATCAAGAAGTATAAGCAGTCAAATGCTGATATCAACTGTCGAGTGGGCAGAGTGATTCCCAGAGAGCCCATCTACAAAACTCTGGAGTCAAGATACTAAACGTAACATCAATTAGCTAAGTGACAAACCTTTTACTTGTATTAATTATATATTAAACCAAAAACATGTAAAATATTGCTACACAACTGCAGTCGTGTTTTGATACATAACAATGTGTCTCTTCAGGCAATTGTAAATTACTGGCGAGTGAACAATTAATTTAATCGTTCACACGCCAGTAATTAAGAATCCCCTGGAGAGATGCATTGATATACACTGAAACTCAACTACAATTGTGTGGCAATTTTTGACATGTTTTTGATTTAATATCCTGAGATAAATGATATTTTGCTCTACTCTGTATTGAGCTCTCTTTTAAATTAAATGTTACGAACATTGGAATTGTACTCTAATTCTCATCTTACCTAGATAGATAGATAGATAGATAATGCATACCTTTCCAATACGCATGGTCTTTTTAGACTTTTGATTAATACTACTTTGAATGACCAAGCTGATTACATTTGGTCCAGTTCTTTCTGAAAACTCTTCTGGATCTTCCTCTTCAGTAATAAGGCAGTCTAAAATTTAAAAAAGGTAAATGGTTTATTATTTATATATGAAAACAATATTATATAATTTTAAAGAAATAAGCTCATTTGCAACAGATGATAAAATATATAAACAACAATCAAATCAACAAATTGTTACATGAACTCAACACCTTTATGTAACAATAGCAGATGGAAATAGATTGGCCGAGTAGACCTAATAGAAAATCTAGCAGATATAAAACTATCCAATAGCAAACTGGAAGCCCTCAGCTTTGGTTTAAAATTCCCCTCAGTAATTCATAAAGGAAATTAATTTGATACAATAGTTAAAAAATCATAGACACACAGACAGAGAATTTACAAAAGGCTTCATTATTCATTTACCAAAAGTTTTGTAGTGAGTCCCAATAAAAATAAAATTAAAAAAAATAAAAAGAATTCAAATTAAAATAAGGCATTTGTACTTTCCTTTAAAACCCTTATCTCTTTTTTTTATACTTCTCTCTAAACAAATGAGAAAGCAACTCTCAACTAAAAAGAGGCAGAAAAAAAAAAGCCAAAAAACACCAGAAGTTTTAAAGGAGCTGAGCCTACTTATTTGTGACTGAAAAATACCAAAATTCAGGGAGGCTCCATGTGTAACTTTTGTTATCAAGAAAAAAAGAAAATTGAAAGGAACACCAGAAAATAAAATAATTTCGGTCAATCAAAAAAGTTGACACAAAGAAACTTTTGATGTTAGCCAAAACCAATATTCATGCCAGATTCTTGAGCCTGGTCAAAAGGATATAAGCCTGACACCTCTGGGTTAGATGAGGAGACAACAGAACAAAAGAACACTACCCCAGAGAAACCAGCCATGTGAAGAAGTAGTTAAGAGGCCAACCTGCTAATGATATTTCTGGCCTGCTTAGAGCCAACAAAAACCCATTAGATTGACAATGACCTATTTCTTAGATGACTACAACTACTATCAAGTGCTGACTCCAAATGTTTCAATACCAAGGCAAAACGAACCTTTCTCCAGACTGCTACCACTATACTTTTTTCAACAAATTTTTTGCTACACCAAATACTATTATCTAAAAAGATAAACCACAGCTCTAAATACACTGATTTCTTTTCATTACATTCTGCACCAGCAACATCTCTGTATAAAATCTGCTATTTTAAATAATACCTTACAAAAGATTATAAGTATTGTGAACTATATATAGTCTTAGTGGGTTAGACCTTATACCAAGACACACCTATAAAAATTAAAAAAAAAAAAAAAATTGAATTTCAACATTTCCCATGGTTCACATATATGCAAGTATGTATGAGGTGTTGGGTAATGGATATTGGTTTGGAATGAGAAATTAGAGAGCCGAGTTAGAATTCCAGTAGGCTTCATTCATTCACTTATATGCAAATACCATGCTGAGCTATGGATTGATTAGCAGGACAGACTGGACCCTAGAGTCATGTTTGGCAATGGTCTACTGCAGAAAGAGATGCTAGCCTACTGTGGGAAATCTTCGTGAATTGAAAGAGATGCATATCACAAATGGCACTTGACCTTTTATCCATGCATAATTATAACCAATGATTGCATTTTTATATCCACCCCAATTTATACACATATACAATTACATCATCAAAAGTATTACTTTAGTTTGATCAAATCTTAAAGGACATAATGCATCACAAAAAAAAAAAATTTTCACTTTCTCATTACTTTGCCTAACAGGGTGGATAGAGAGAAATGGAGACAAGAGAAAGCAAAACATGACATACTTAACAGGGCTAAAACAAGAGGTTGGCATAACTGGGTCTAAGAGAGATAACAGGGGGACAAAACTTATTGAGAGCTACAAAGGACAGGAGGAAGTGGAGAGCCATGATCGCCTACGTCCTGAAGAGACATGGCGTATAAAAGAAGAAACACGAGAAATATAACATATAAAAGAAGATACACGAAAAATTCTTACTAAAGATAACCAAACTTACAATGAATCTTATTATATCTCATAGTAATCAATGCTGCTGCAAATTTAGTATATGGAACAGCAAGATTAAGGTAAGATAAACGTCTAGCTCTGGTCAAGAGATGCACTATGACTTGGCCTTTAGTAAAGAACACTATATACAGAACTAACCATTTAACTATTTCAAATTAAAAAAAATAAAATAACATCACACTATGCCAATAATTTCAGTCCAATATAGATAGATAGGGTCCATTACTGTAGACAGATAGATTGGGTCCAGTACAATCTGGAGTTTCATGTATCCACTGTGAATCTTGAAGCATAACCTCTGCCACACACACAGGTAAGAGAGGAATAGTGTACATACAAATAAGTTTAAAAAATCTTATTATAATTCTGCTTGTCCCTCCCATAGTTTGCACAACCGTTACACCCTACCAATACCTCATAAATAATGGACTATTCCATTTTGCTCACATGGAAAGACCTACCAGAGATGACATTTGGTTTCAGTGAAAAAATTAAAGAAAGGAAGAGAGAAAGGAAGATAAATGGGTTTAACATCTGTCTCAGTAAAATGGAAAAAGTTGTTAATTTCAAATTTTTCATTTGTACCCCCTTACTTCTTTAAATAATGACCAGCATTCATATTTATGATTGTTATTGTAATATTTTCTTAAAGTTGTTAAGCTCAAATATTTAATGATGTGATAGGGGAATTTTGAAGGATATTTTACTGTCATATAGAATTTGCCATCAGTTTATTTAATAATAAACCCAAGAATGAAAATTCATCAGAAAATTCAAATAGGAAAATTGTGACATTTTCACACATATTTCTAGTAATAAAAAGTTCAGTATTCATATATATAAAAAAAACTTTTTTCAACCAAAATGATACTTTAAAAAAAAAAAAAAAAAAAAAAACTGATGTTCTAGACAGTAATTCATGGTTAATGGTCGTTACTTACCAATGATATCAGCAACCTGCAGTTGTATGGAGGCAGGTGTTTCATTTTGATGAATGGTCTTTTCATTTAGAAGTAACATCAACCGAGTATCAGGCACTTTTTTCTCCTGGGCTAAATAGCTGAAGAGATTACAGAATGTGTCAGTCTGCAAAGAGGGAGGAGGAAAAGAAAAAAGCAAAAATATCAACTCCTGTTTTAATAAATTTACACAAAAGGAAACTTAAACAAACCTAGAGAGGTTATTTAAAATGTTTCAACCTTTAAAAAAAAAAAAAAAAAAGAGAGAGAAAAGAACAAAGAATCTATCTATATTTCCGAGATGAGGTATTTTAACTACATATTTACACTATTTACATTGTTCGGACTGTTGTCCTCATCTTCATTGTCATATTCACAACATTTCAACCATTGTATACAGTCTGGCCTTTTTCAATTGATATGTGTTGGAATTTAAACCAGAACAATCTGCCCCCATGGACTAAAAGAGTTTGGTCCAAAATTCCAACATATATGACCTGAAGAAGGCCAGAGCATACAACGGCCAAAACATTAATATGACAATAAAGATGAGGACAACAGTCTAAATGATCTAAATAGTATAAATAGAAAGAAGAATAAACAAAAAAGCCTGACATCTTCAATGATAAGGTTAACAGAAAAAGATTACATAAGGATACAAAAATTCTTCTTTTACATAAAGATCATGTGACTAGTGATTACTGAAATAAACTATATATATATATATATATATATATATATATATAGAGAGAGAGAGAGATAGATAGATAGAGAGAGAGAGGTGGGTTTACACAAACTGTCTCTTGACATTATAAAAGCTTAGCAAACCAGTTCTTGGTTTATCTGAAAATAATCTTATATATTAATAGCCAATACATAATAGCTAAAAATGTAATACCATTGTTGTAAGTGATTGTGAAGGCTGAAATAGGTTTTTCTGTGATGACAAAAATTGAAATGAAAAATGAGGAAAATTTTCTTGTCATAACTGATAGGTTTTTTCAATGGATCTTTGGGGACTGCAGTGATTCAGTTCGAATGTGGCTAAGAAACCATAATACAGCTGATGACACTAGAGTCAAAAAAACATCAAACTTCTGAACAGAAATATGATGAGAACAGAATTTCAATCTGGAAATATCTTTTTAATAAATAAATGTTTTCTATTAAATTATCAAAATGGTTTAATTCTTTTTGATACTATAAAAGTGATTTGTTTCCATTCTCAGATTGAAAAGAAAATAAGCAAAGTAGGTTCCTAAAAATTACCTGCTTTTATAGAGCTGGTTCCTGCAAATTTGGGATGCCATTACTATATATATATATATATATATATATACATACACACATATACACACACACACACATATATATATATATATATATCTCAAGACTAATAGTGGGTAATTGAATGAAAAAAAATATTGAATGTTACACATTTCATAAAATAAAAAAGAAAACTGTTGCTATCACACTGCGGGATATTTAAAAACAGCATCATATAAATGAAAACAAAAGTAGCAGAAAGCTGAATGAGGTAAGCTAGATAATGCATCTAGATACACTGGATGTTATCAATTTAAACGTTATTTTTAGTGGATACCTATATTCAAGTAGATTCTCTGCTTATTTCTTGAACAATATATTTATTTTTGTCTATGGGTTTGAATATTTGAGTAACTTTATTAAAAGAAAAGATGTGCCTCCTGGCAGGATTTGAATCGGAATCCTCCAAGCAGGAGAAACTGTCATATAGATACGATATGATTTTGACCAACTCAGTCACAAAGGGTCTCACCAATACAGCAAAGCTAAATATTGCCTTGCAAATGTCTAAAGCACGCCTAAATATTGCCTTACAAATGTCTAAAGCACGTCTAAATATTGCCTTACAAATGCATAAAGCAGATGTCAGATCTGATAGTTTATCCTGCTAGTAGGACGCAGGTTCAAATTCTGCCAGAGGGCACATTCTTTCCTTAAGATTTCTGGAATATTCAGTCTGGTAGACGAAAATAAATAAATATACTGTTTAATAAATAAACAGTGTCTACTTAAATGTGGGTATTGACTAAAAATTATATTTAAAATGATCAAATCTGTCGAATTAATAAATAAAAAATACATTACTTTCTTAGACATTGAATGTCAAAAAAGTTAAGCTTTAAGTTTTGAGAACAAATGCATGAGAAAATTCCTTGGCATTTTCTATTGGGATAAAAAAAGCAATGAGTTTGCGCGGAAAAGTATTAAAAATTTTGTGGGACACCAGGAACCCCTTCTCGCCACCAAGAAAAATGGCATGGTTTGGACACATTGCAAGGCATGACAGCCTGTGCAAGTCCATCATGCAAGGCACCATTGAACGTGGACATAGAAGAGAACATCCACGCAAAAAACTGGTTGGACAACATCAAACAATGTATAGATATGAGTATACCAGAATTGCTGATGGCTGTTGTTGTTGTTGATAGACAAAGCCATTGTGGAAAAGAGTTAGTTTGGCTTCTGCATTCAGATCCGCAATACAATTACAAAAGTCAAGGGGTGATGACAATGATGCATCTTAAGTGTTTTCTTTGTGTAGAATTATGTCCATCTCCTCAAGTATATTTGATTGCATCAATAAAAACATTATTTTGTCTGATGAAGTCTTTTTGAAGCATGAAATGCATAACACAGAATTTTTTCCATTCTGTCATTCAATTACAATATACAATGCTCTTGAAAATGGTATGAATTCATTTTCCCCCAGCTATGTATTAAATTACAGGACAGACTGGGATCTCTTACCTTGGGTGCTAGCCAGTCTAGGAGAAGGAAAACCGAATTCAAACCTGTGGAGAGCATTTTGGAAACTCTGTGGCACACTATTCACCATTTCTCTATTATCAGTTCTTCCAAAAATGTGGTTGAGTCTACATAAGCATCATCAAATCATTTGTATGAATATTGATCAATGAAAAGTCCAAGAGAAATTACAGTCCGCAGAAGTTAAAGTGACAGACTCTCCAGATATCAGAAGTTAAATTGACAAACGTTCCCAAGGCATAAAAAGTTAAAGTGAGACAAAGAAATTTTAACCAGCTTATAATTGGTTCACTGAGCAAATGTAAGTTGGAAGGAAGGGAGAAAAGCCTGCTGCTGCTGCTGTTTGGAACCATTCATTAAGTTTGGGGAGAGGAAATAACTAAATTAGTTAACAGGTATATTTAGCAGTTAAGTTCTAAACTAAAATTCTTAAACCCTTATATGCTATAACTGATGCAAAATTCTACCATGTATACATGCTCAACAAAAAATTCCTTTATAGAAAAATCGAGTTATATTGAAATATCAACATTTTATGCTACTTGCCACCAGATTAAGTGAATCGTCCTTTTTAAGTGTCAGGTGGATGTTTATATAGTGATTTACTAAGTGTAATTTAAATGAGACACAAGATTGTAAGTTTGGAGCTCCAAGTGAAAATTGAACTCACTATTGAACCATAATTAATCTAGCTAGACAAGCTTGCTATTACATCAGATTGAAATACCCAGGTAGATATTTACATAGAACCAAAAATTTTGACACTATCCTTTTGTGTGCAAGCAACAACCCATGGGGACCAAATGGTGAGTTAGGGTAAATAATTTGCCTTTTGTGTAGCAGTTAATATACGTAATGCATAGATACAATAACTAGACAAAAATTATCACTCTCTATGTGACTTTATTTGCTGTACAAAAAGTTTATCTTGTCACTGAAGGTGACTGATTCCTGAACAATACTGTGATTTGAATTTCATAGTTGTGTTGTCATATCCTGCTGTGACAACAGAAAACAAGTTTGAGTGAAATTAACAATAAGGTTACTGCAATTTAGAGGCCTTGAAAAAGAATGCAGTGGAAAGGGAAGTGATATTAATAATACAGAGTGCTAAAGGTACAAAGAATTTATTAACATAATTGTTAGCCAGAAGATTTTGTGGCCTCACCAGTAAAGCAGCCGTCATATGAAGGCAGGCTTCCCGAGCAAAGGACTTAAGTTCAAGTACCACTAAAGGTAATTTCTTTATTTCCCATGTCTGTTACCAATAGCTATATAATGCTTACAGTTTGTAAATTGCAATAAAAGCAACTGACATTAAAATGGAAGAAATGCTTATTAACCTTTATCCAATTGAATTTTTTTGAATTTCATAGTTGTGTTGCCATATCCTGCTATGGCAACAGAAAATGCCTTTAAGTGAAATTAACAATAAGGATAGTGCAATTAAGAGGCCTTAAAAAAAGATTGCAGTGGAAAGGGAAGTAATATTAATAATGAAGAGTGCTAAAGGTTAATAATAAACTAATAATAGTTTTACTTTGTGTATGTGATATTCATATGAATATATAAAAAAAGATAAGTTATCTGATAAGTTTATTTGGTGCTGCTCTGTGAAATTATGTGAGAGAGAGGGATAAGGAAAAATCATTTTTTTCAAAATTCTAAAATGGGTAGTCAGAAAATCTTTATGGTACAAGACCCACACCTCCTCTGTTGGCTGATACTAATAAACTACAATTACTCAAATACACCTAAAATTACATATTAAAAAAAATAAAGCCAGTTTTGATCTCAGTTTTAAAATGTGTATATTTTCAAAACTGTTTTTAAACCCAAAATAAAAATTATTCTTTTTTACCCATTAGTCAGTGTCAAACAGTATGATTTTAATGTTATTCACTGATAATCAAATAACATTGTTATGTGAAATATCTTGTATTATTTACATTTTATGTAATCTATACATGACAATACACTTATATCCATTGCTAACCTAGAAGGATTAATAAGTAAATGTTTTGATCATGAAACAGTTGCTTGAAAAACCAAAAAAATTTTTCTTTCTTTAGCTGAAACAATAAAAAAGAGAAATTGAATTTAAAGTAAACAAAACAGGGATACTAAATATTTAACGTTTATCATTCTGTGACTCCATTTGTTGTGCAAATGTTTATCTGGCCACTGAAGATGGCTTTGATCTCCGAATTTGAATTTCATAGTTGTGTTGTTATATCCTGCTATGGCAACAGAAGACACCTTTGGGTGAAATTAATATTAAGGTTACTGCAATTGAGAGGCCTTGAAAAAGAATGCAATGGAAAGGGAAGCGATATTAATAATGCAGAGTGCTAAAGGTTAGGAAAATGCATCAAAGATTTCAGAACATAATAATTTAGATAAAATTTAATTTGTTATTTACACTATTTACATTGTTCAGACTGCTGACCTCATCTTTGTTGCCATATTCATGACATTTCAGCCATTGTACACTCTGGCTTTCTTCAGGTAATTGGAATTTCAAACTGAACAATTTATTTCATCCACCAGGGCAGATTGTTCTAGTTCCATGTGCCATGCCTCTTCCTGATGTCTTTGTTATCTCACTTTAACTCAATTCGCCAAGTTTTTGTTCACGATATTGAACTCACAATTTTTTGGGTCAAGTCACTGAATCCAACCAATGTTTTTATCCACTGAGCCATGTGTCCTTGAGGACATCAGTGTATGAATTTTTGGGACTTATAAACTTAATGTCTCAGTAATCATTTTTTTTTTTATCAGAATTCATATTGCAATTCTTGTTATTATTGCTTTTCTCTAGCACTCCATATTACTGGTTTCTATATTGAATTCATTTCTATGTTTGGCTGGTTTAGATTTTTGTGGCATGGCATATGTGCTGACTCCTTAAGTTTTTGTATTTTCCAGTGATGTTCTCTATTATTTCAACCTCATCCTACAGGGCATGGTGATCTCCCTTTGCCCTCTACATGTGATCAGCTATGCCTGATTTTTCTATTCCCACCTCGTGTAACGGCTTTATGATGTTCTTGCAGTCTTACCTTAAGTGGGTGGCCTGTTTCTTCTTTATATTTCTTACCAATACTACAGGGGATGGAGTGCACACACTCCTTAGTCATGTTCTTACTCTTCTGAGTAAAATGTAAGGACACATGGCCCAGTGGATAAAAGTGTTAGATGGATCCAGTGACTTGACCCAAAAGGTTATGAGTTCAATACAAAAACAAAAACGTGGAGAGATGAGTTAAAGGGAAATAACTGAGATATCCGGAAAACGCATGGCATGTAGAACTAGAACAATCTACCCTGTTGGATGAAATAAAGGGTTTAGTATGAAATTCCAATCACCTTATATATTTATATTTTAAGAGCAATATTCTTTTAAATAATTTTTGAGAATTTCAAACAACTGAAAAGGAAAAATAACTGACGCGTTTACATGAATTTTCCAAAATCAATGATTCAGTTGAAAATGAAAAATTGTAGAACATTATCTTTAATTCTAGACTTGAGATATTCTTTGTATTTCAAGTGATCAATAAATTAAATGCATCAATTAGTTAAAAGTTAGCAGGAAATAGAAGTTTCTATAAAATCAGGGAGTTATATATTTCAGACTGACACAGACTAAGTTTCTTTAAAGTTTGGATGTATAAAAGAGATATAAATTTCTTTCTGTGTGATACTATGAACAGCGACATAAAAAGTGAAGAGGTAGTTTTATCTCGATCTGAAATGTTTCTCTTTTGACGGACCAGCAGATAGAAGACCTAACTTCAAGAGGAACTAAGTAGCATCCGCTTTGACCCGAAAGTAGCATGGAAGTAAAGGGATGGCTGATGGGTTTTAGGATACATAAAAGAGATATAAATTTATTTCTGTGTGATACTATGGACAGCCACATAGAAAAGGGAAGAGGTGATTTTATCTTGATCTGAAATGTTTCTCTTTTGATGGACCAGCAGATAGTTCCTCTTGAAGTTAGGTCTTCTAAGTAGCATCTGCTTTGACCCAAAAGTAACATGGAAATAAAGGGATGGCTGATGGGTTTTAGGATACATAAAAGAGATATAAATTTATTTCTGTGTGATACTATGGACAGCCACATAGAAAAGGGAAGAGGTGATTTTATCACTATCTCAAATGTTTCTCTTTTGATGGACCGTCAAATAATAGTTCTTTTGAAGTTAGGTCGTCTAAGCAGCATCCACTTTGATTGAAGGGAAATGGGAATTATAGAAGTTATGGTTAGGGATTTTTGGAGATCAAGTGGAAATAAAATGGGAAATGCATATCTGTGTGCCGATCTATATTAACAGTCATGCATTGGATCTGGAAGAGTTTTGGTCCATTCTCATGTTGTCCATTTAAATGGCCAGCCACCATGTCGGGATGAGTAGTTGATACAGGGAAGAGCTGATATAACAGAATTTATCCCAAGTATCATCTACCTACCCACTTGGACAAGCAGGCAACACCTTGAATAAAAAAATTATTTTCTAATATGGGAGACAGAGTTTCTTACTTCTTAGACTGGCAGTTGTCTTTCATCTTGTTACCTTCTGAGCAGCAGCAGGCTCTTTCCCAGCTTCTGGTGTATATTGACGAGAGCAAGAATCAAAATGCAATGTTGGGTAACCAGTGACCAGAAATCTTGGTTGAGGGTCATGTTGTATGTTTCGATATGAACACAAACTCTACACCTTCATACTTACCAAAGAGATCTATAATTATGCAACCTAAAGTCACCCACTAAAAATAACATTTATAACAATGAGAAATCAATCCTCCTATATGGCAGTGAATGCTAGACAATTTCCTCACATACATAAAAGAGACTTGAAACTACAGAGATGTGGTTTGACAGAAGGATGCTGGGAAGACACATGGACATTTGAATGAGTGCTCTCATTTCTACACATTAATAATAGAACTAAGACAAAGCAAATACTTACTTTATTCATGGGAAACCGTTTAATCTCTGATCCAATTTTAACCATAACTACAATTTCCCTGCTGAAGGCATCAGGAGAGGAAGTAATATTTTCTTCTTCTTTGTCATCATCATCAACAATAATCACGCTGTCATCTAAGCATTGAATGTCACATGGATCGGAATTCAAAACTTTATCTAATTTTCTGAAAAAAAAAAAATTTTTATTTAACTAATTTACCATTAAAGTATACACTTGAAGATCTAAATTTATTCTTGAAAATTTAATTATTTCAGTCAATCTAAAATATTTATTTACTGCAACTGGTTTTAAAAGAAGAATACTCAACTATATAAATCTGAATTTGTTAAAACCGAAGACCACTTTACTGTCTCAAATTAATCTTAATAGGCTCAAGGAAGTACCGTACTTTCCAGCTTACAAGACGCACTTTTTTCCCCTAAAAAAAATACCCTGAAAATTACATGTGCATCTTCCAAGGCGAATACAAGGCAATGTCCAGGTTCAAGTAAGCTTAGACAGTCACCTAATTGGTTTGACTGATAGAGACAATCATTTATATGTTAAGTCATTACACTATAATGTTAGCTATCTATCTAATTCAGCCTTTTATATGAATTTAACCTCAGTACTTAGCAGTTACAAGTATTTCCAAAACTATAACTCTTCCTGGAGCTGAGCCACAAGCTTAATCATGCTCTGTTTACTAGCAGCAGCAGTGAGAGCTTTTCTGCTCTTGATTTTGATGTAGGTGTAGGTTTGTTCACACTCTTATGTTATGAAAATATCAATTACCACCTGGCGGTCACATATATCACAAGCTTTTTTGTTTCTGGATATTATCACCCCCCATGGCAAGTTTATCAAAATGATTTAAAACCACCCTTGGACAATGAAATATGTATATATATTTACTAACCACCAACTAGTATGTCATTGCCATAGAAACAAAATCAGACAAGTGATTAATATAAACAACATGCAGCACCAGTATGTGAGGGAAACATTGCAAATGTGTTGTTGTACAAGAATGACTTTTTTTCTTAGAAATTACTTCCTAATATTAGGGTGCATCTTCCAAGCTGCAGAATCTTGTAAGCCAGAAAATATGGTAATAACTAAAATTTTAATATATTTAACAAAATGTTTACAAAATTAATTTTAAGAAAAATTAAAAGCTGAATCTATTAACAATTCTTATGCTATGGCCAAACTATTGTTTTTACAAAACCTATGCTGCCTGATGTCACTGTATATGTGTAAAATTCCAGATATAACTAAAAATCATCCAACCAAAAAATAGTAAATTTCTTAGATATAAAATTCAACATAAACAACTGAACATACAAACCATGCAGAAAACCAAATAACCCAAAATACATTAACAAAAATTCTAACCCCCCACCACCACCACCCACCACCACCACCACAAACATATTCAAAAATACCCATATCTGTAAATAAAAAACAAATTCTAACCCCCCACCACCACCACCACCACAAAACATATTCAAAAATACCCATATCTGTAAATAAAAGAATTTCAACAAATTCTGATAGCTTAAAAATATTCAACGAAAATAAAATAAATCAGCCTGAAGAAAGGGCGGATAATCAAAAAACTAGAACAGTTTTTTTTTTTTTTTTAAATTATGGATGAGTGGGTTGCAAGATAAATAAAACAGGTCACAACAAAATTTAAAAAATATGTAAATTAGAGCAAAGTGCAGAATATAAACAACTGTAAATGTTGCACATTATTTACATGTAGACTATTGTTCCCATCTTTGTTGTTATCGCATTTCATACACCCTGCCTGGATTGTACTTGAACTCAATGGAAACAGGGACAAGCAATAACTGAACCGTATTAAAAACAAGAACAAGATATGAACAGTGGAAGGAGAACAGTCTAGCACGGTAGATTAAATAAAGGCTTTAGTTTAGAATGCCCAGACTGACATACATCTGACGGGAGGGGTACAAATGCTGAAACATTGTTTGTGATAGTGATATGAGGATAATAGTCCACATGTAAATAATCATAATGGTTCCTCCCAGAAATTCAAACAGAAATTTAAATTCTAATTTTACTTTCAATTAATTTGTATTTCATCTTAATTTTTTGTGATTGTGTTTAAGCCTCTAAGGCAATGTTTCTCAACCAGCATTCCCCCAGGTCGCTAGAAGTTCAGTGCAAAACAGTGATAAATAGGCTAATCAGTTTTTGAGTAATTTTTGTTTCATTTTATATTCATAATTTTACAATACACATATAGCATACTGTTGGAAAATCCTTGGTTATTATAACAGACAGATATTAGTAATGGTATATAATAATTTTTATGCAGGCAGTTCCCCAAGATACGAAAATTATTTCAAGATTCCCATAAGAGTAAAAAGGTTGAAAAATGCTGCCCTAAGGCCCTGTCATCATATTAGATGGTTGGTTGATTTTGTTTAGTGGCAGTGATTTAATGCCAAAATTTAAATACAGTTTTATGGCTTCAACTAAAATATATTTTGAATGCAATTGTATAAAGATAAAATATATTTTCAGTAATTCCATGATAAAAGATATTGTTGATCATTTTACTATAAATGGGTTTCCATCCTGGATATGACGATAAACTACATCCGACAGCAAGACTTCTGATCAGGATGTTTTGAGGAGCATGGAACCACCTCTTAATTGCTGGTGTTCTCAGGTCCATGCTCACCCAGGGTGGTAGCACCTGTTAGGATCCCAGCTATGGGCAAATAGTTAACACCCAAAACATGTAAAAATAGGTTTTATTACCAGCAATGAATTTTTGAAGAAAAAAATTATTATCAGCAATACATTATTACCAGCAATACTTTTTTAAAAAAAAAAAAAATCACCAGCAATACTTATTTGAAAAAAAGAAATATTACCACCAATACATTTTAAAGAAAAAAAAAAAATTTACCAGCAATAAAAATCTTGATTCTTGATGGCATTAAAGATCCCATTACGAATGATATACCATAAAACAAACCAAACCAAAAAATAGGTATTGTTGGTAATATTTTTTTATATAAAAAATGTCTTGCTGGTATTTTTACTACAAACCTGTATTTTTATACTTTCATAGGGTTTCACTTTTGTTTTGGAGTTCACTATTTGTCTATAGCTGGGACCCAACATGTACTACCACCCTGGGTCAGGGTTGACCTGGGAACAACAGAAATTAAGAAGTGGTTCCATACTACTCAAAACCTCCAAACTCCTGATCAGAAGCCTTGCTACCAGATGTAGTTTATCATCATACCCAGGACTCATCACATTAAAATGTTCATTCTAGTCAAATTTCATTGGCAAATGAAACAATTTTTGTCACGATTACTTATTTGGGAGATTGCTTCTGACAACACTGGAAATAACAGAATAATTTATTGACAAGTACAACTAAACTCTACACTTTTTTCTACTTTCTTTTTTGTGTCAAAATACAATGACATCTCAGTTTGCAAACAATTCCCCAAAAAACTTACTGTATACTTGATTGAATCTTCTTTAAATTTTGTGTTATTTTGGAGAAAGAACGTGTCCGTACTGGATTTGCTACAACAGGTGGAGGAGGTGAAGGAGGTGCTGGAGACTGACTGCGGCAAAAAGAAACAGGTTGGAATCCTGAAGAACTGCAAAGAAAGAAATCAATACAATTACAAAAGTTTACAGAGAAGAAAAAAAACGGGATAAGATTTGGATCAACAGAGTGATTTTATATTATAGACTTTCTGTTTAAAGAATGAATATGAAGGCAGCGTGTCATGGATAGCACCTCAGAATGAAAAATCACAGGGTCAAGTTTGATTTCCAGTTTGGCTCATTACATTCACTTACACACAAATACCTTTGAGAAAGGTATGAATCCATCTCTTCTCACCCATGTATGGGTTAAATAGTAAAACTTGTATCTGGAAAAAAATCATTGTTATCTCAACAAAAAAAAAAAATGTTAATGCAATATTCACATGTAAAAAAAAGAATTATTCTTACAATACAAAATAGGCTTTGGCTTTAAATAACCCACAAAAAAAATCCATCAATTGATTCTATTTAAAGAAACATTGTTAAACTTGTAATAATGAACATAATGTTTATTTAAGGAGGTTTTAAAACTTAAGCAAGAATTAAAAGCTGGGTATATACGTTGGTGGGCTGAAAAGTTCATAGGCTGGCTATAAAGGAGTGAAGCTACAGATGTGAAATCTTGCATGCATTAATTTCAACTCTTCTTCCTAATAAATTCATTGTTTCTTTCCAGGTAAACTGACATCTGACTGTTTAAAGAAGATTTCAGATGTAATTAGTAACAACTTCTCTTGAAAATGGACAAAATTTGGTATCATGATGTTATCAAGTACCTGCAGAAAAAGGTTTTAGCGTGCAAGGACATTGATGCTGACATGATTTTAGGGGTTAACACTCCAGCTGTTGATAAAAAAAAGTGCAAAAGTGGGAAGTTGAATTAATGAGAGGAAGAGAGAGTCTTGAAGATGACCCAAGGTCTGGATATCTTGCAACTGTGGAAAACATTGTTTTCACCATGTGGTGATGGAGCACAGGCGATTGATTATAAATGAAATAGCCAATGCTATTAGCATATCTCATGAAAGAGTTGAGAATATTCTGCACAATGAAGATTTCTGCTCGGTGGGTGCCATGTCTTCTGATATCTGATCAAAAGTACATTAGACTAATCACATCACAGGAAAATCTGACACTGAAGCAGATCCAGTTGGTTTCCATGAACATTTCCAAACCCCCAATGAGTGTTGGGTTCATCACCTTGAACTAGAGACAAACAGAAAATGCAGTGGGAACACCCTTCCTGACCTTCTCCAAAGAATGCCAATGTCATTTCATCTGCAGAAAGTTGATGGCTTCAGTTTTTGGGATGCAAAAGCCATTGTGTTTGTTGAATATCATCAAAAAGGCCACATCATCAATGCAGAGTACTATACCAAACATGCTAAGGCAGATATGGAAAAATGGGAAGAACCAAATGATCAGGAAAACTAACAAAAGTGATTTTGTTTCATCACAAAAGTCCTTGATTTCAGTGGTTGCTGTGCATGACTGCGGTTTTGAACTTGTTGATCATCCTCCCTATTCTCCTAATTAGGCCTCGTCTGATTATCATCTGTTCCCCAACATGAAAAAACACTTGGCTGGGAACCAGTATCACAGTGATAATGATGATGATGATGATGTCATATCTGCTGTTGACAACTTTTTTTTACCAACAGGATGAAAGCTTCTTCACCAATGGGATCAAGGCATCACAACACCACCAAAAGAATTGTGTAGACTGCAAGGGGGACTAAGTTGAAAAATAAGCCTCATTTAATCAGTTTCCATGAGAGTAACTTGGTCAGCCTATGAACTATTCAGCCAACCCTTGTATTTGTAAATTGATTTAATGAGTTTAAGAACTTCATTTGCTTAATATAGAAATATAAACAAAATGTAGCCAGGTGTCTAATACTAAACTTGTTTTTCCTTATATGAAAGCCAATACACATCAAATGGAGATATTTAAAAAGTATATTCCCTGCTAGTATCTCTGAAAATTTTACTTGAATTGATTTGTTTTTTTTTTTTACAGTTGATCAATCTTTTGCAGGTTATTTAAAGCCAGAAAATATTTTTATATTGTAAGAAATTTGGGGAGATAATAATGATTTACTTATAGAAGTTCTACTAATTGACCCATAGCTTGTGGGGGAAGAGTTAGATTCATAACTTAACCAAGGGTATTTGCTTGAATATAATGAACCTGACTGAAACTGTGTCTGAGACGGTCTAACACACATCAGATCTAATGAGAGTTTCTACTGACAAGAGGGATGTAGTTTCAAATCCTGCCAGAGAATGCATATTTTTCTTTAATAAGATGTCTCAAATATTCAGGCCAGTAGATGAAAATAAATATATACTGTGTATTAAATAAACAGAGCACCTACTCAAATATGAGTATTCACTAAAAATAACATTTAAGTAATAAAAATCTGTTGCATTAGTAAATAAAAATCCATCACTTCTTTAGAAATTGCTTTGTTTACCTTAGGATATGAAATTGAACAAAGAGAAAGATTTGCATTTATAAGGTACTATTCAACTTTGCTTGATCATCGATGCATTCCATGGCCTAGATTGTCTAAAGCACGTCAGATCTAACAACAGTTTTTCCTGCCAAGGCAAATGCAAGTTCAAACACTAGTGTCTGTAATAATATTTTTAAAGTTACGCATACAGTATTTGAACTAATACGAAAGCAGATACAAATACATTTATCTTTAGATAATAAAATAGAACAAATTTATCAATTTCTATTCAAGTACAAATAAAAAAATGAAATGCAAGAGAGGTAATTATTGGTGACTTGCATATGACGTACAAATATAATTCTTTCATTATGCAATAATATGCCAGGTCTATTATTCAATAAAATTGGGATAAACCAACCAACAAGGGTAACATTTTTAGGATATGCTTAGATTTATAAGATCACAATATAGGGTGAGGTTCAGCTTATAACATCTATTTTTATTAAAAATTCTTTTGGGAGTATTGGGTTTCATTATACAAAAGAAGTTCAACATAAAGTTTTATTTTTATACAGATCCAAGTGATATAAACCACAGAACGTATTTAACACAATTCCATATCACAGAATAAATCATTTATTTTATTGGTTTCTTGTCATTCAATAACTCAACTGTTTATATATTGATTTTCTTAGCATTTTTACTGTTTTGACTTTAACATTGACTTGAATCAGTTTTTATTTCTTCCCAGACATATCTTTATTGTTTTCCATTCTCATTTAATTATGGCCCACAAGTTTTCTATTGGATTAATATACGCAGAGACTGAAGACCTTTTCATTAATTTGATGTCTTTGAAGCCTTTTTTGGCAAGGTGGGCAATAATCATCTTTACAGAATGTGAAGGATCATTAGCCTGCACAAATAAACTTTTTTAACTTGAATTTTTTTGGTTATAAATTGTACTACCCCAAAAATGTCTACTCCAATAACATGCAATAATTGTCTGCATTTATTTTGATATTGATATCAACTATAAGTGAAAGGATCTATAATTTTACTGCCTATAGTACTACACCACCTAACCGTTGAGCTCTAAGCTGTTTTGGTTGACTTTATGAAGGACCCAACCTCTAGCTCAGCTGTCAGGTTCAGCCAATGTAGCTCTACATTCATCATTAAAATTTACTAGAAATGTAATAGTTTGGTTGCTTTCGTGTTTTTCATCAATGTTCTTAATATTCTACATCTTTTCTCTTTGCATAACACCATCTTCAAATATTTTCTTGTTGAACAATCCACTTTTCTTAGATTTAAAAAAAAATTTAACTAATTCAAATTTACATTTAAAGAATCAGTTTTTTATTCTTTACTCATCTTACATGTCTTTTTGTGGTGTTCTCTATCTTTTCTCTCGGTTTACATTTGCAATGTAAACTTTTCCAAATATTTTCTGGTCAATCTTTTTTTTTTATTGCACTTTTAATTCTCTTTTTAGTGACATTTTTTGTCTTCTTTTTTTGTAAATGTTTTCATTTTATATGTTATTTAACTTTTTTGCAATTTTCAATGTTCTATTACTCATTAAATTTACAATATCTTTGTTTTTCATTGAAAATGATTTTTCTTCTGAATCATTGCAATCTTTGCATCTTTAAAAATATTTAAAATAAATATCAATAGCTTTACTATTATAATATACTAGCAGTAGAGCCCGGCGTTGCTCGGGGATGTAACAGTAAGAGATAGATCAAGTATCGACCATCATAAAGACTGAAAAATAAAATTGACAAAGATTATTGTTTAAGGTTGATGGACACGCATGTCTTAATTAGTTTTTTTTTGTTGTTTTTTGTTTGTTTTTTTTTTTTACGAATTGGTCAAACCCAAACTCAAACAAAAGCATTGTTTTCAATCATTATGAGTCTACCGATTGAATAGAATTTTATTATAAACAACTGTCTTGTAAATGGAATTTTTAAAGCATTCTGAATGTAAAAATAAAGAAAAAAGTGTGCAAGACAATAAGAAACACTACCTGCCAAAAAAAAGTGAAGTTTTGTTGAAATCGGTTGAAAAATGTAGGAAATCCGATGCCATATATAAAGGAACACAGACACACACTCACAAACAACCTGGGTTTTATAATAAGCATAACTCGATATGAGTTGTCCCCCTTTCATTCTCGACAGCGATGCCTCTTAATTGTGTTTTCAAATTGATTTTGTGCAAAAACAATTGTGTTTTTCCAATTTTTGGTGCTGTGAGAACCACTGCAAGGTAATTTTACGTAGTTCTGTGAAGTTTTGTTGAAATCAGTTGAAAAATGTAGAAAATACGATCTAATATATAAACGAAACAGACACGCACACACACACAACCTGGGTTTTATAATAAGTATGATTTACTTATTATCTGTTGAGAAACTTTCAAATTGCATAATAATATTTCACACCCTGAAATAAATCATTGTAAATATTAGGTTGTCACACATGAAATGACACACATTATAGGAAATGAATAAAACGCTTCTGAAATGTTAAATATCTAATTTATTTAGCGGAAATAGACACTATCTTGATGACTAACTGTTCTCCAACATACCTCTAAATTTTTGATCACATCTTTAAAAAAATTCTTATCCTTTGATGTGATAATCAGTTCAAATGCTTCAATTACCTCTTCCTTATTGGAGAATGTTTTATTATGCATGAAAGACTCAAAAATGCTTAAATAAGTAATAATCATTAAAAGGGATATCAGGTGAAGATGAAGCATGAAGCAAAATTTCATAATCCAAGCTATGCAGCTTTCAGACAATTGATTGAGAAGTGTGTGGCCATATGCAGCAAAATTAGGTGATTCACAAGTCTAGGATGTTTCCAATGTTTTATGCATACATTCAATTTCTACACAATATGAGGCTATTGCTACTGTTTTCCCTTGAAGCAAGAATGAATAACCCCTTTGAAAGACCACCATACTGTAACCATTAACTTTTTAGGGTTGGAGGTTTTGGGTATTGTTTTAGTGATTCACTTACATCGCTGGCCTACTCGCTTACTGTTGTCAAAGAGTATCCATTTCTCATTGCATGAAATGATTTGTTGCAAAAAGGTCTCTTAAAGTTTGTACTCATACAGTAAGATTACTCAACATTGTCCCATTGTAATCATTTTCATTGGGTTTATGATTAACAATAGATTGAAAAAAAAAAATTATCTGGAAAGAAGAAGAGTCAGGAATAAGACAAGATTTTTTTATAAAATTAAAGAGGTTACTTCATTAGACAACCAGATCAACAACCAATAGAGTTGGTCAGCTTGGAAATTTATGTTCCAGTATTGGTTTCCAGTTTTGTTTTCCTTGATACCACAGTTTTCAATTCGGTTTTCAATTTAGTATTTTTGCTTTCTAAGGAAGCCATTCATTTTCTTGTGTAATAATAGTATTTCCAGTCAATATCTGTTTTTGTTTGAGATTGATAAATTTGCATCTTAGTCCATTCAACTCACAATTTCTCATGTATTTCTGGTCCAATCTTAAAAATATTCATATGGCTGGAAAGAAAATAAAATAATCTTTCTAAATATATAATTTGTATATGCTTTTATTCATTGAATTATTTTTTTTTACAGCAAGTTAAAACAGTATTGCTTCGACCATGCAAAAATGTGAAATTTTTTTTTTTTTAAGACCAAATTTTACACGTTACTTTGTTTTGAAAAATCAAAGTGAGCAATCTTTATCAGTATTCTTGAAATTGTACACTCAATTAGAAGACAACTTAAACTACAATCAAGAAGATGTTCATTTCTTCTCTGACCTGAGGAAGCAAATTCCTTCAAAAATTATAAAGTAAGCAAAAAAAAAAAAAAATTGGAAATTCTTTTCTGGTACGCCAATCAACTATTACTGGGGTTTTGCAAATAAATTTCTTCTAAACATGGAAAAGCAATGAGTTACTTTTTCCCCTAAATAAATTTATGTTTTTATCTAGCAAATACACCTAAAATTAAATATCAAAAATAATTAAAAGCTTTTAATCATTTTAATATATAAGCTATAGTTTTATTCACTAGATAAAACCATAAAGATATTTGTAAAAATAAAATGAATTAATTTTCCTTGTTTAGAAGAATTTTATTGGCAGAACAGTAACACCGAACACTAGTGGCTAAAAAAGAATAATTTTTACTTTGGGTTTAAAAAAAATGACTTGCAGTTTTTGAAAATATACACATTTTAAAACCGAGATTAAAACTTACTTTATTTTTTTAATAACTAATTTTACGTGTATTCGCTAGAGAGAAACATAATTTTATTTGTAAGAAACAGAAACTGGCATATCTGGAAATATACAAATCTTAAAAGTGAAATTAAGAACTATTTTAATTATTCTTAATATCTAATTTAGATGCATTCCCTAGATAAAAAACAAATTTATTTATAAAAAAATCTTTTGTTTTTCTTGTCTGCTACAACTTTATTTTGTGATTGGCGTAACTGGCTTACTAGAAAACCCTTACAAAAAATCTGACTTCATAAAATTTAACATTAAGACGAAGCTGGCAACTATTTTTTTTTTTTTTTTTAAATCTCTATTTGTTGTTAACTTAATTTTACTGCAAAAAACTAAAACAAATTTCAATTTCAGACATCATATCATATTTCCTTTTTTTTTCTTCATTTCTTTTGTAAACAAATAGATTTCACATTTATTTCCTAAAACTAGTCACTTAAATGTTTTTAACATATTTTTGTTCAATCTTTTTCTCTTACAATGATATAAATGTTGATAAAATTTAATTTTATTAATATCTGAAAGTCTTTTTCAATAGTGTTTCTTTGGATATGGTCGCTCAGTAGTGATATAAAAACTAAACTGAAATCGTTCAGTTTCATAAAAAATTTTGATGCGGTTTCACGGTGTGAAAATGAAACTGAAAAATGTTGTTTTTTTTGGTTAAACTGCACATCTCTAACAACCAACCAACCAACCAACCAAAAAAATGCATCATTTCATATGTGACAAGCTAATAATAAAAACATATTATGAACTGAAATTCACATAGTATATTTATCATATATGAAAAATTATGGTTAATCTAAATTATTTTTTTTGTGAGAAAAATTTGACTCGCATAATAAAATCTGAAAGTAAATAATGAATATAAAATTCAGATAAAAATTAGCCACTTTCAACAAGACATATTGCAATAAATTGAATATACATAACTTATTAAATGTTATCTTTTTTTTAAAGAATTGAATTTATGATAGAAATAAATTTAAACTTTGGCTATATTTTCACTATTCATTTTAATTTAATATTTTTCTTTTTTTAACATATCAACATTACAAAAAAAATTTGTTAAATTGTTAATTAATTTTACAAATATATTCAGTTTTTCTTGTTTATCTCACTTAAGGCAAAAAGTAGTTTAATGCTCAATAGGTGAAATACAACAAATTCACCCATGTATCAAGATATATTGCAATATTTCTTAGATTGATAATGCAGGCAAACTCATCATTAATGATAATCTTTTTTTTGTTTTAGAAGATTTAAAATTTAAAAAATGCTGTTCTGATGTTCTTTTTCTTTTGTTTTTTTTTTTTTGGCCGTATTTGTTTATTCACCATCACGTAATAAATAATACTTTAAAACAGTCATCAGTGCACTACCCTGCAATTTATAATTTTTTTTTTCTTTCTAAGAAAAAGATTAAATTTTTGTCAGAAAGAAAAAATTTTATAAATTGCAGGGTAGTGCACTGATGACCGTTTTAAAGTATTATTTATTACGTGATGGTGAATAAACAAATATGGCCAAAAAAAAACAAAAAAAAACAAAAGATTTATGATAGTCACTAGTATTCATGCAATCATTATTAATTAGTTAATTTTTCATAAAATTTAAAATTTATTTACAGTCATCTTTGCTGTTACTATCACAGTGTTTCAGCTGTTGTCCTTTCTGACCTTCTTCAGGTGTCTGTTGGTCTGGGCAATCTTCAGGGAATTTTGCATGGGACCCTTTAAACTACAAGGGTCATATATTATTCTCCTTCTGTTATCTAGATAGGGATATCTCACCTTGTTCATTTTATTTTTTGTTAGTCATATTTTCACAGTCCAAGTCTGTACTACCCAACACTGTGATTGAACTATGTCACCAAATTCACGAACCAGTACTTTAACCAAACTTTGAACATTAATGTTAATATTCTTTCTTTCTCCTGTGTTGCTGTCAAGCTTAACTGACTTTGCTGCCATTTCTCTTTCTTTCTTTATATAAGTTCTCGTATAATCACCAAAGTAATGTCAAGCCTGGTCAGGTGGCCACTTGGGAATACCAGGTGCTGTAAGCTTGGATGTCACCTTCTAGGTCAATTTTCAAGGTACTTAGGTCTTTTGACATTCTGAGGTGACATGGAGTACAAAACGATTCTTAAGGTGAACCCAGTACATACTGGGGTCACCAAAGATCAACTCTTTGATCAAAGGTTCCTTATGGACATTAAATTCAAATCTCTGGTATTTCTTAGCATGAATCACATACACAAATTTTTATTTTTTAATTTCTTAGATTACACGGTCAATTATTATTAATTTTTAAGTAGTATTCTCCTGCTCTTCATTGTCCCTTATTGAAAATTGTTGTTACAACTTTTAAGTTGCACAGGACAGCAAAACTTGAATGGATATTTATACTCTTTTTCTGATCTACACCATTTAATGGCTCCAAAATAACAAGAGAGTGACAATAAAAAGCATCAAAAATAAAATGAAAGACTTATGAAAAATTATATAATCAGAACATTTGGCGTCAACAGTCCAATCAGAGATAAGCAACAGTCAATACTTACCTACAATTACTTTCAATACAGAGGACATCATCCTGTATTTCTGATGGGAAAGTATTTTTCAACTGTTTGAATTTCTCTTCTTTTTCAATTTCAACTGTGAATTATAAATAAAGTTTGGATTAAATAATTTTGTCATATGGAGAAATTCTCTAAAAGTATGGCAGTAATAAATGCGATACTATTAGATATTATGATGAAAGTTAATGTTTGACTAATAAAATTGGTATTAAGCAACCAATGTTGGTCAAATTTTGAATATATATTTGTTTTTTAATCATTTCACCCCGAGCAAGGTGAGAATGCCACTAGTATGCAGGGGGCTACAGAGAGTGAAGGTGAAAGAAAAGACTGTGTATAGGGGGGGGGGACCTAGGAAATGATAAAAACTGAACGCGGCTCAAGAAGATAGAAGATGGCGATTGACATTGCATTTAATTTTTTGAAGATTGTAGTTATCAGAGAAGCAAGAAATTGGAAGGGAGTTCCACAGGCAGGAAGTGTGAAAAAAAAGAAACTGTTCAAGTAGAAGTGGTGGTCACATTTAACTAATTCAACAGTAAAAGGGTAGAACCTAGATGCCAATCTAGTAGCACACTTAAAGTCACATATTCCAAGAACCAGGAAAAAAAGCTTTCCAGAGAAATAGCCATGAAAATGTTTGTAGAAAAGACAGAGGGAAGCCATGTCATGTTAGTGAGTAAGTGACTGAAGCTAAGATGCCAAATCAGGATTGCTTACATTGCATATCCATCTTTGGATTTTGTCAAGAACCTCGAGATGAGTAGCAGAAGCACCTGACTAGATATGGCATCAGAATTCAATACATGGATAAATAGTAGATTAAATGTACAAAATGGACTGACGAGAAAAACCTTCTGGCACAACACAGTGACCAAACTTTCCTTGCAGTAGATGCAGCTATTGATTCGAAGTAGTCATTCCACTTCAAGTCAGTTGAAAATGTTAGGCCAAGAAGACACAGTGTATTTCTCTACAAGAGTCTAGCATCAGCCATGTTGATGGCCAGCAGGAAAGTTTCTCTATGATGGTTAAATGAGAGCAGTTTCGTTTTGGAGGCATTAAAATTTACAAGCCATTTCCTGCCCCAGTTAACCACTGATTGGAGGTTCTTTTTAAGAGCAGCAGACAGGTTAATTTTGTCAACTCGGATTTTCTATTGAGGCAGGTGTCAATGGTAATGTCATCTGCATAAATGCCTACTTGGGAACTGATGACATTAGGAAGATCATTGAAATATTAATACAAGTATCTGCTGTACACAAAATTACACTATTACATTGTTCAGACTGTTATCCTCATCTTTGTTGCCTGAAGAAGGCCAGAGCATACAACAGCCAAAATGTTGTGATTATGGCAAGAAAGATGAGGAAAACAGTCCAAACAATATAGTGTAAATAATTACAATACCTCATCTCAGAAATATAGACAGATAACTAATCTGAAATTTTGAAAATATTTTTTACATTAAATATAAGTTTACATTAGACATAAAGTGGGGGATCAGTTTTCTATTGTTGTTAAGTAGTAAACTGAGCCCCACTAGAATTAATACACTATGTCAAATTTTATGATGTCAGTGTTTTCCCAATAAAACTGGTATTAACCTATTAATGGTGGTCAAATTTTCAGGATGCTTATAAATATACCATATGCATTTCAGATTATAAAATCATTTATTTTATTAGAAATGCTGACAAATATATTTCTTAGTGGGGTGGTATTTTATTATGTACTTCAAAGATTTTTCATCACATTGTAAATAAATATATATAATAATATTGTAACATGTGTGTCCCAGGCCAGAGTAGACATTTGGTACACACAATCACAACAGAGTATCAATTGGGTCAGGTTGACCTGAAGTGACCTCACAACTATACCCAGTGAATGAGCTATATAACAGAGAACGATATATAAACAACCACCCCAGAGAGGAGTTGGACAATCTCTTAGACATCACAGATGAAAATGCAAGGTCCACATTTTGGACAAGGGTTCTGGGGCCGTCTGAACCCAAAGTGAAGGAATTGAATAATATGTTATGTTCAAAAGGAAAAGATTTAAGTCTCATGATACCATATCATCTCAGTTTCATTATTGATGTTAATGTGAAAGCTTTTAGATAGTCACAGATTGCTATGAGTCATAAGAAAGAGATTAGCCCAAAAGAGAAACCAGATATTGTAAAGTTAATGAGTGATAGGAAGACAACATTGAAAATTATGGAAAAAAAAAAAAAAAAAAAAAAAAAAAAAAAAAAAGATCAGATGTGTGATATGAATTTCAGTATAAAATCTGCTTCTTTGTAGTTCCGACTTCCTTTAAGACTTCTCTTCAGTATGCCCTGTGAAGGTTAAATTCTCCAAGCCTTCTTTCTTCATTATGTCCCCAGGAAAGGAAATCCTACATTGATTGCCATTAGGAAAATTAGATATTTAATAGCCATCCACAATGTTATAAAATAAAATAAGACATATCTCAGCTGATTTACTCAAGATCAAGAGCTGGATGTGAACAGGACAAGGCCCCATCACAAAATGACCATTATCGTCATTTACGCATATTCCCAACACACAAGTTCCGGTCGAAAAATAAAATATTTTAAAATGTTTCTATTTTTCAACCAATAAAAATGCTTCCCTCCTAATTATACTCATGTCGTTTTTCAAGCCTGTTAAGCCATAAAAAACGCCATAAAAGGGTCACACGGTGAAGTACAACAGCAGTCAACAGGAGGCCAGGGAAGAGACCTGTCACGGTCAGGCTGAGCAGTCAGCAACGCCACACCAACCATCGAGAACTACTATGAGAGATCAACCCAGATCTTCAGACGGCCTATGAACTATAGCACAAGGTAGCTGTCCCAAATCCCCACGTTCCTATTGAAATAAATCACGTAAATCTATTTCTGCTGTTGTATTTCCTTCTTGCAACCATACACTTGTCTATAACAACAAGTATGTAAAAAGTATTTGTAGATAAAAAAATAAAATGGAGAGAATGACAATCAGTTGGAAAGTTTGCCTTTTCTAATTTATAAATCTACTAAGCTTAAAAGCTAGTAAGGTTTTTGTTTTTACAATTTTCACAAATTTCATCTTTTTCTTTTTTTCTATGTAAGCAATAATCATCTTTACAGAATGTGAAAGAGCTTGCACAAATAAACTTTTTAACTTGAATTTTCTTGGTTATAAATTGTACTACCCCCAAAATATCTAGTCCAATAACATGCAATAATTGTCTGCATTTATTTTGATATTGATATCAACTATAAGTGAAAGGATCTATAATTTTACTGCCTATAGTACTACACCACCTAACCGTTGAGCTCTAAGCTGTTTTGGTTGACTTTATGAAGGACCCAACCTCTAGCTCAGCTGTCAGGTTCAGCCAATGTAGCTCTACATTCATCATTAAAATTTACTAGAAATGTAATATTTTGGTTGCTTTCATGTTTTTCATCAATGTTCTTTATATTCTACATCTTTTCTCTTTGCATAACACCATCTTCAAATATTTCCTTGTTGAACAATCCACTTTTCTTACATTTTAAAAAATTTTTTCTAAAATTTTTTTCTGTGATATTTGTAAAGCTAGTTTTTTTTGTTTTTTATCATGCCAATGTTTTCAATTTCTTTTGTGATTGTTATGTGATTTCTATTGCTTTGTTCCCCTTACTCAATAATTTGCCACTATTGTATTTCACTATTGACGCTTATAGCTTTCTTTACAGTCCATCACAGTTTTATATATATATATATATATATATATATATATATATATGAAATTTAAGAAAATGAATATCAATAATGATATTATTTTATTTACAATATGATGTCCAACTCTCAAGTTGCATAGTAAAATCTTACAGAAGCAAATTACCAAAAGGATTACAAAGAGAATATTTGAGAAAATGATAGGAAAATTCAAAATAATTTTACTTTAAGTCCACTCTGCTATTCAAGTCCATTTTATTACCTGCATATCGGCTTTTTGATAAAAATGTTTCCTTCAAACATTAAAAATCTCTTCGACTAGCAGCATGGCCCGGCGTTGCCTGTGCTTGATTCAAAAATCATACGACTCATACAGCAATCGCTATCACTTGACTTAAAATATTTTTGCCCTTCCTTGCCTTTAAAGGAGTGCCCTTTGCCGTGCTGATGTTGCTACATGCCTTACTTCTTGCCTATCTCACACTGCAAATTTTTTCTAAGCTCTATACTAAACATTAAATCTGTTACAAAAAAACAAAATGAACACAAAACGATCAGCTTTAAAAAAGGGCTCGTAACTGGAAAAACCGAATGAAAAAAGAATGTTAACAACAAATACTTTTTCACACCCAACCCAGTTCTGCGGAATCAGAATCAACATTGAGTTTAAGCAAGCGAATGAGCCAATCGGAGTAAAGTGCCTATCAGATTTAAGTTTTTCCCACTTGTGACGAATGCAGCTATCGATTTTTTTTGCATGCTAGCATGCTAGTTAACATTTGTGTCTCGCGCTGGCCAATAGAATCTTCCTGCCTATTCGTGGCAGCCAGCTATTGGCTCTCACTCTGGCCAGTACAAAATGGCTGCAAACTACATGAAAACTGCCATAGAAGCATGAAAAAATTGATTATTTCCACTATCGATGGGAGTTGGGAAATGCAAAGTCGGTCTTGGCCTTCCCGCCAACTTGAAGCATGTGCATGTAAATTTTGGTGCAAATTTATCAAAAATTGCAGTCGTGCATTCGTTACACACACATACATCCTGCCTTTTATAAATAGAGATTTATTTTAGTTACAAGTTAAAACTTCTTATGTATATAATGTTTTTTTCTATATAATAAATGCGAATGTTAGTGCGTTACTGTGTCACACTTCTTCAACTTTATTCCAAGAGGCTATAGCCCAATATACCATTTAGGAATCAGGACGAATTAAAACATTTGAGGCTGCATCCTGATTCACAATCCTGAATTTTTGAATTCTCCAGGTTTTATTACTGTGATTGTTTTTGGCAATTTTAATGTGAATTTTTTTGTACAATAACAATTTTTATAACTTGAAATAGTGGAAGTGTTTTTTTTAACATATTTGAAGGCTGCTTTTGTAATTCTTGGGTGATTTGGAGGGCATTACACCCCAGTTAAACAACAGCTGAGAAATTCTGCCTGAAGATAATGCATGGACTTCTTGAAGGGTATCAGCTGACTGTGTGCTCTTGCCAAGTAAGGCGCCCCAGTGACACTCCAAACAGGCTGGTTATGGGCAAGCTGGAAAGCCCTCTATGCCCAATTGAGTGGTGTGGACAAAGACTACCTATGTGTGCCAGGGCTGTCAGGTTCCAGGTGTCCCTACCCCTGCTTTGTACATTCTTGGTCAACTACAAGGTGGATTGCAGGCCTGGATTACACAATTAACAAGTAGACTTCTTCATCAAATACAAACATTTTTTTAGTTTTGATGTTTTTATTTTTTTTCTCAAAATTTATTAATATGTAAAGTAAAAAAAAAAAAATATGTCTACATTTTCTTCATCCTTTTATGCAAATACCCTAAAATTTTTATAACAATATCTCTAAAACCCTAAAAGTTACAACATTCAAAATTTTACCACACTCAAAATTAATATAGATCCAGAGAAAACAACTTCAAAAGGTAGTGCATAGTTGTAAAGGGTTAATCCTCATAGGGGCATACTGCAGAGAAGTAGAGGGGAAACTGTCCAAATAAATAGATAACAGAAGAAGGAGATCATAGACAAAGAGGGGTAGTAAAAGGCAAGAGTTACTTAAAGCAACAAAGAACACAATTTTGTGGAGAGCCATGTTAAAACTTGTCCTGATAGGACATGGAAGATAAAAGAATTTCCTATTTATAGCTATGTACTTCAAAAAAATAAAAATAATTAAAACAGTAATAAACATGTTTTCTGGAGTATGACATCCTCTTTGGGCTTAATGCCCATTGATGTCAACAGCATTCTGGATAATCCTTCTCCAGTAGGATTATTCACAGTTGCTGTTTCACTGGTCTTAGGGTAGAAAGATAAATTATACGAGACTGGCCACCGAAAAGTCAAAGCAACACAAAGATGACACATGACATGGTAAACTCATCAACTTTATTCAAACTGCCCACTGGATCCGCCTTGTTCCCAGCATTCCCTGGTGGAACCAGAAGTGATTAAAATCATCATCATAATCAACATTATTGATATTGTTATAACAGTTGTTGAAACTTAATGTTACTTTGTCTTAGAAACAGAATGCACTCTATATCTAACCATTTTGTACAGATCCAGTTGGATGGATTTTGAATTCAAAGCTGGCTAGAGAGTTCAGTTTGCCTTGCCGTTTAACCCAAAACCCATATATTACTATCTCCATCTAAACACAACACCCTTCCCTGGACCCAAAACCTATTGATGTCAACAACATTCTGGATAATCCTTCCCTCATGAGATTATCCATAGTTGTTGAAATCTATTGTTGCTTTACCTTAGAAACAGAATATATGTACTCCATATCTAACCATCTTTGTACAGATTCAGTTGGATGAATTTTGAATTCAAAACTGTTTTTCTTCCTAGACTGGTTGCCAACCATGGCTAGAGAGTTCAGTTTGCCTTGCTGCTTAACCCAAAACCCATATATTACCATCTTCATCTAACCACACAACAACCTTCCCTGGACCCAAAACCCATTGATGTCAACAACATTCTGGATAATCCTTCTCCAGTGAGATGTATATAAAAATTAAAATAAAAAATAGATTCGCTCAATCTAATTTATTTATAAAATATCGATTACTTACAAGTTTGTTATAGCATATTTTTTTTCCTCATATATGAAAGGTTTTATCTGATAAAATAAAACTGTTCATTCAATGTCACTTACTTGAAGAAATTTCATAACCATAATCAAAATGTAGAACCTCATACCTTTTTCTTCCTGACAGTATTTTGCAAAATCAAATTTGGATGAATGAATTTCTTCGAATGACTTTTGTGCAACTGTTGTATACACATTGGCTTGATTTTGATTCGTTGATAAAATCTCGGCAGGATCAACGACTCTACGAAGGGTTTTACGTTTCCTCTTCACAACTGGTTCATCTTCACAATCGCTTGAATCACTGGAACCATTGTTGCAAGGCTTATGGTAACTTTCACCTGAATTTTCCAACTGAAAAGAAGATTAAATAAAACAATATATATTACAGGTGCAATGGATTTCTTTTTTCTTTCATTCATTTTCACTAGTTTAATTGCAGTGTCTTGATTTATTTTACTAGAGACACATATATATATTAATTCTATGTGTGATTAATTCTTGTATGTAAATCATATGCTGCCTAATGTTTTATGTTTATTAAAAAACTATCGATCCGCAGTACATAAAAAAATTCCTATAAAAAAATTACTACTATGACATTACACTATATTATTGAACTATATACTTAATTCATGACATAAAAACTGAATACGATTGTAAAAATAGAATACGTGGATTTAACACATCACAAGAAATATTTAAATAAAATTCTCACTTAAAAATTTTGAAAAACTTAGCGTTAAGCGCCCTTGCACGTTCGAGATCTTACAACTGTCAATAATAGCAGATATTCAAAAAACATCTTTCGGTTCGACATACAGATATATCGTCTCAAGTTTTTGATTTTATAAGAAAAAAAACAACACATGCCTGATGATGGATGGTAGACCCTCCGTAAGTACTAGCATTTTAACATCGAATAAACTGAAAAACTACAGACAAGTTTTTCTTTAAGGATCAAAAGTCGCACTATGGATGAACAGGATTTTAATGCATATATTATGTTTTCTAGTGACGGATGTCGCCAATAATCGCATTGATACTTCTTATTAATTCTATGTGTGATTAATTCTTGTATGTATATATATATATATATATATATATATATATATATATATATATATACACACGTGTGTTGCAAAGTTATGGGTGATAATTCAAAGAATTATTATCAGAAGGCTTTAATTAATATAGTTGATCAATTTAGTGAAGAAAAAACTCTACAAACTTTTTAATTTGCTTTCCACCTGGCACAAGGTCAATAACAACATTTGATAAATATAACAAAAAGACTTCTTTCATATGTGAAGGTGGAAATATCAAAATTTATATACAGAAATATACAATTAGGTCGTGCTGAAATAAAATATTCAAAGAAAGTATCTATTAAAAAGCTTTTGTGTTTTTCCTCTTTTAGTTGTTTGCTGACAGAAAAGAAGTTTACTATTTTGTCATTAAAAAATATCGTTCAAAAACGATTTTACAACACTGAATTATTTCAGGAACTGTCTTCTGGTTTGAAAGGTTTCAGTCATATAAGTTTGGATGTTTTTGATTTATTCTTTTTCTTGTAAATCAGTTTTGAATTTAAATACTCTTCTTATACAACAAATCAGTAAATAATTTGCAATATTTTTTTATAGAAGAACAAAGTTATCTACCTTTGACTGTGATTGTTCACAGAGAAGAAATAGAGTTTAAAATTAATAAATTCTAGAAAGATTGAATTCAATAATCGTTAAAGTTTGTATATGAACTTGTAATATTAAAAATTTGTTATTGTAATGGAATAATTTTTTTCCTTGTGAAACATGTATTTTGTTGGAAAGGTTGTATTCTGAATTTGAGTGAATGTGTGAGAAAAATGTTATTAATTTTACATTACTTGTTATGTAGATTTTCACAATAGTTGATGCAGCTTGTTTTAGGTTATTTCAACTCCACTGTCTTCAGCTACCATTCTCACAAAGTTTTGATTTCACTGTTAGAAGCTTCTGTTCTCACTGGTGCAAGCTTCTGATCTCACTGACTCAAGATTCATGCTCTTTAGTTTAAATACTACTTAGATCACACGGGTTGCCCAAATAGAGCTAGACCTTTTCCAAGAACAGTGATCTAAGTTCTTAGTAATGCGTAGGCATTGTACAGTTTAACTAATCACTGATTGGATGAAACTACTTTGTATACTTTTTAAAAGCCTAAAATTTTTGCTACATGAAATTTATATTGAGATTATGGGAAATTTTATGACAAAGTGGAAAAAGTTTACTTGTGACACTTTTCATCCTTCATTGGACTTCATTGGACTAAATTTGTTATGTTGGTGTGACTACACATAAGCATGAATGAAGGATGCTGGGGCTTTTAGATTTTTTTTTTATCTAGCCGAATTCATTTAGAGTCTTTTTCTTTCTATCACTTTTGTTAGTAGGTATCCCACACTGTGATAATAGATCTTCCAGGAATGGTGAAATGATCTTACCAACTATCACATCTAAAATCAAAAAGATTATCTATCTAAACTCAACATAAAAGTCATTACTACTATAGCCAAAACAATAAAAGACTTGTCAATACTAAACAAAACAATAAGCTAAAACCTGAAGGAGGATTTTACTCCTTTGCCTGTAACAATTGTCAAAAAAATACATAGGAGAAACGTCAAGGAATCTAAATAGTGGGTTCCCACAGATCTGTGTAAAAAAAATCCCATGACTTTTCAAGGACTTTTCCAGGACTGAAACTGGCATGTATGTATATATTACACACACACACACACACACACACACAAAGTGAATGGTCATCAGTTTCAAAAATACAAACTTTGTGATTTATCTCTTAATAGTTTGACAGATGAGATGTTCAAAGAAAAGCTACAGCTGGTTCCAATAATTTGTGTCACATGAATCAGTTGAAAGCAATGAAGATATCAAAGTGTTGAAGGCTAAAATACAATTGAATGCAGACCTGGTTATGTTACACATTTTGTGTAGCATTCTACACAGTTTGAAGTTCTACTACACTTGAATGTTTTGAATGACACACTAATTCTTACTACTAAACATTTCTGCTATCTAGACTACTTATTGTGAATGCCACAAAAATTCTTGACTGCTGCACATTTCCTATGAAGGTAAGTATAATGGTTTTAATCAAAAGAACTACAAATAGAAATTTTCCCAAAGACTACACATTTTAGCTACTCATGGTACAGAACACAATAATGTTAACATTTTACCAACTCATCTAGTTTAGCATTCAGCTCCTCTTCCAATTTTGAGACCTCTATGGATTTCTCCTTTGCAGATCATCGCATGGCATTGGACTTTGCGATAAGTGTGAAGTTCTGAGTCTGTTCAGCTTTCTCCACATAGGTGTCAGCTGACTTGAGCAAATCTTGTGCACAACTTTCAAGCTTATGGTCTTCAGTTCTGAGGCGAATGAAGAAAACAGTAACCAGCGAGTTAATTCAAGCTCTCCCAACTGGTATTTCAAACTTGAGTCGTTCCTTCCTGAGTTCTGACTCCAAATCACACTAACTGCCCTTTCTAGCCGTCAACCGTGAACGTCCCTCGAAGAACTCGCCGACTTGGAAAAAAAGTAGTTGTTTTTATAGTTGTTCATGTACCCATAATCCCTTGCATCTTCCTGTGATCCCATAATTCATTGCGTCCATGTTCCATAATGCATTGCATCCATGTCCCATAATACATTGCATCGTTATTGGATAAAAATGCGATGCCAGTCCCCCCTCATTCTTTTACATTATCTGGCCAGTGACCGTGTGAGACGTTTATTTTGTCTATTGGAGTACTTTTTTGACTGTCTTTACTTAGCTAAGTTTTGAATTATTTTTTAGTTTCTTTTTTTGACTATTTTTTTAAATTTTTTGATTTTTCTAACGTTTCCTTTGTTAAAGTTTTGATTTTTCTAACGTTCTTTTTCTGGACTATTTCTTAAATTTTTGATTTTTTCATTTTCACTGCCATTTTTTACTTTTATTTTTGCTATTAAGTCCTTTATTATTTGACGTTTTGATTTTTTCTTTTCGTTTTTTTTTCCTTTTTAAATTTATTTTCTTCCGTACCCTCCTCCCGGAAATTCTCTGTTTATTTTTTTTTTTTTTTTTTTTCGTTTTAAGTCCGACCTTTTTTTTTCCCCTCCTTTATTTATTACGTGTTAATTATTTCTTTGTCTTTCTTTTTAAAACCCGTAAAAGTTCGTTTCGTGTATATAGTATTTGTTTTTAAATTTTGTGTTTATTTTGTAATTCCTGTCCTTTTTTCCCCCCTTGTTTAACGTTTTTGTTTTTGGGTTGACCGTTTTTTAGCGGCAGCCATATTGTAAATTGTCACATTTTTAGTTTCGTATTTTATTTTGTATAGCGTTTTTTTTCTTATTTTTCCGTTTGTAATTTTTTGTTTTATTGTGTAATTTGTTGCTTGCTTGTCTCTCGTCCTTTTAATTATTTTTGTGTGAACTTTGTTTTTCCCTGTCTTACGTCCATTTAATTTTCGTTTTATCTGTTTAAATTTGTTTTGCTTTTTAGGCAAAGCTTGTTTCTTTTTTTTGTCTTTTAATTTTTTTTTATACGTCCTTCTGTTTTATTTTTGTCTGTCGACCTTTAATTGTTAATTAAATTTGTTGTCTCGCTGTTAAGCGAAACTTTTTTACACTTTTTTACCCCCAAGGTTTTTTGTTTTTTATTTTATTTTTTTCCTATCGCCCCTCCCCTTCCATTTTCTCGTACCGCTCCTCCCCTTCCATTTTTTTTCGCATCTCCCCTGCCATTTTCGCATACTGCCCCTCCCCTTCCCTTTCCTCTTTTGAAAATGGAAAAAAATCAAGAACAACGCCTTCTTTCTTAATTAAAAAGAAGAAGCCAATAATTCCAGATTTTAAAAAATCCACAAAAAAGCATTTGTTTGCTATTAAAAAAATTCCACCAGATAAAAATGATACAAATGAGTACCCTTTTCTGGTTCCATCTAATGAGGAAATAGTGGATACTCTAAAAAAAGCAGCAGCAGCAACTTCAGAAGAAAAAAAGAAAGAAAATATGGAAACCAAGGAAACCAATAGTGACCAATGCAACGTCGAGGAAAAAAAAGAATGCAGAAGCCGGGAATTGCCTTCTTGTTGGTCGCCCCCACCGAGTTGTGTGATCAATGTTGCGGAGTTCTTGGAGAGGGCCAAGAGTTACGCTCACCTTGTCGTGGAAGGTGGACTCTTGGAAGACGCCCAGGAATTACGAAAAAATTGAAAAAGAATTGTGTCGGTCTTTGTCGTGGACAAGCGCTCGCGCAAAATTTGTCGCTCGACAAAAGACACAGTGTTAAAATCACTGGAGT